GAAAGGTTACTATGACAACATTCGCCCCTGCCGCATGTCTCCCTATGGGGCAGCAGAAAGGGCTGGTGTTTAGATAAAGCTAAAATGCTGTAAATCTTTTTCTTTAACTGTTTTCCAAACCAAAACACACCAAAATATAAACAACATACCACCCATAAAGTCATGAAATATCAACTTCTTCTGGCGTTTTGTTTGATACACTAATTACATTTAAAGTGAGTGACGGTCTGTTGACCGCTAGGGCTGCTCCTATGTTAATGGCGAAGGGCACGCTATCTGCAAAACAATTTCCAATGGTAACGTGGTTTTTACTTACATAGGCAATAAAAACTAAAAGTGCAATGCTGAAGCCATTGCGAATTGACTGCGGAAACAGATCTAATTGGAAATCTGCTAAAAAAAATCTTGAAATACTTTAAAAGCCTTGAAAACTGTTAAAAACTTGATAATAATTTGAAACTCCTGAAGCCTTGAAATTGTTGAAACCTTTAAGACTCCAGAAATCCTTGAAACTGGTTTAAACGATTTGAACCTCCTGAAATCCTTGAAACTTTTTTTAAACCTGGAAACTTTTGAAATGTGGAAACTCCTGAATCCTAGAACCTCCTGATATCCTTGAAACTGGTTAAATTCTTAAACAGTTGAAATCCTTGAATCTAACTGATGTATTGAAATGTCCTTGAAACTGAAAAATCCCCTCACCCGCTGAAACAATTTGGTTCCTGTAACTAAGGAATACCTGGTCTTGGTCATTAACTGGTGGTGTCTGAGTCTCGTTTTGGTCTTTCTGTGGTATAAGCAAACCTAATAGTGCATTATAACCTCCAACCAAGACCCAAACGAAGACTCAGACCACCACCAGATAATGACCACAAGACCAGGTTTCCTTAGTTACAGAACCAAATTGTTTCGCGTAGGGATTTTTCAGTTTCAAGACACTTCAAAAACATTCATATTTCAAGATTCAACTGTTAAGAATTGAACCATTTCAGATATCAGAGTTCAAGGATTCAATGTCCACACTTTCAACATTCCAGGTTTAAAAAAAAGGTTCAAGGATTTCATGAGTTTCAATGTTTCAACAGTTCAAGGATTTCAGAAGTTTAAAGGTTTCAACAATTTCAAGGACTTCAGGACACATAAGTATTCAACAATGAAAAAAATCCATTTGCTCATAACATTCTAAAATGGCTCAGCTTTATGAGCAAATGGATTTTTTTCATTGTTGAATACTTATGTGGACCACTTTATAAAACCATTAGTCCACAACCTTCCTGCCTATATAAGAGATTCTACAGACTTTCTAGAAAAGTGCTCCGACCTTAAAGATATACCTGTTAATGCCTTATTGCTGACATTGGACATCACTAGCCTCTATACCAACATTCCCCATGAAGGGGGTTTAGAGGCCATAAATTTCTATCTACAGCAGAACAGCAGCAGTACAAGGCCTCCTGACCAAATCATCTTGGACTTTACTGAGTTTGTCATGAAATATAACTATTTCCGTTTTGAAAAGACATTCTATCTACAAATATCTGGGACAAGCATGGGCACCATTTGTGCCCCTAACTACGCCAATTTGTTTGTTGGTTTTTTTGAAAATAAATTTGTATTCAACAATGAAAAAAATCCATTTGCTCATAAAATTCTAAAATGGCTCAGATATATTGATGATGTGTTTTGTGTCTTCAATGGTACTTCCCAAGAACTGACGGATTTTGTCAAATTACTTAATAGCTGGATACCAAGTTTGATCTTTACTCCACAGTATAGTACTGTACAAGTCAGTTTCTTAGATATGGTAGTGCTTAAATCCAATGGCACCATAATAACATCACTTTACAGGAAGGAGACGGACAGAAACACTTTGATGTTGGCCTCAAGTTTTCATCCTACCCCTCTTAAAAAGAGTTTACCAATCAGTCAATTTTACAGACTCAGACGGATATGTCACTCTGAGGAGGACTTCGTTGAACAGGCCAGAGACATGAAAAACAGGTTCAAAACAAAGAGGATATCCCACTACATGGATAGAAAATGCTTATGAACTGGCTTTAAAAAAAACACGAGCAGAATTTTTAAAAAAAACTGTTAAAAAGAAAAAGCAATTTTCTATCACTTGTATCTCCCAGTATTCTCCCCACTCTGCAACCATTAAAACTATGTTCAGAAAACACTGGCACATACTCACATCGGATCCTGAACTGGCCACTATCTTCAAGTTCCCTCCCCTTTTTGTGAACAGGAGGGGCAAGAACCTTAGAGACCACCTTGTCCGGGCCAGTTTCACCACCCTAGCGCCATCCACTCAGACCCTCCTTACGCCGATTCCTAATGGGAACTATTGTTGTGGTGGTTGTGCCCAGTGCAATAACACTCACAAAACCAGCTTTTTTCTACACCCGCACAGTGGTAAGAGTATACCCATCAAAAGCATTATAACATGTGCTTCCACTCATGTCATCTATTTACTGCGTTGTCCTTGTGGTTTGGCCTATGTAGGCAAAACCACAAGAAAATTAAAACAAAGAATAAGTGAACATAAAAGTTCTATCCGCAGGAATGACAGGGAGTATCCTGTAGCTGTACATTTTAATGATGCTAATCATGATGTGAGTGCCCTTCGTTTCTATGGGATAGAGCATGTTCCTCTTCCTGTGAGGGGGGGTAACCATGATAAGCTTCTCAAACAGAGAGAGGCTTTTTGGATACACAAACTGCAAACCCTCACACCAAAAGGCCTGAACGATGAGCTTGTCTTGAATGTCTTTTTGTAAATAGACTGCCGTGTGTCACATTGTAAGAATACACATTTTAGAATACATGTAGGAATGTATGTATTAGGACAGCCATTTCTTTATCAGCTGTCCTGTATGTCTGCTTCCATATGTTTTTTCTTCATGCATCATGTATATATGTATATATTGGTGTTTTCCACTTTTTGAGTTTTTGACGTTTTGTGAAAGTTTTTTGGTCATCTGGTATAGTTGATTACATCCAGGGGCGTTGTCAGCCCCTCCCTATTTAAGATGGCTCCCAACCTCTATTTGTAAATTTTGCCTGAGGAAGGCCTGTGGCCGAAACGTTGCTAATAAACCACTGGTGTTTGCAAGTTGGACAGTGTGCGGGTGTCATCCTTTCCTTCATGTTTGGCCACCTAGTGCGCGCCCACTCCTACGCACCTGTCAGAGAAGAGATGTGCGAAGTTTACCTCTTTTAACAGATTTATGCAGCTAAAATCTGAAACAGTCAACCTGAAAACGTGAGACAAGCTTCTGCTTTGACAATGTTCAAATCCAGGTTTAAAACTGTCCGGTTTCGCTGGGCATACAACTGAAGGATTATATCGTTTTAATGTACTGTGATTATTTATTGTATATCTTGTTTCTTTAAAGTAGCAGTATGTAATATTTGCATGTTAAGTCATCCTTAAATGGCGCCCATATTTCAAAAGGCGTTATTAAATCATGCTCTTTTCGAATACATCTTTAACTGATAACAGTAGTTCAGCCGAGATATTTGATTATCAAAATTAGTTTTACGACCCGTAAAAGTCGTTACGGGTAAAAGTCCGTAATCGTGTTGCCAGAACTCCGCGCGGCTAGCTAATCTCATTAAATGAAATAACTTATGGCCGCAAAACTAAAAAAGGTCTTGTTATGACTCTCAAATCATTAATGACAAAACAAAGACTAAAACTAGGATTTATATCGGGACGCCTTTGAAAAATTGAGACAGCGGATAAAACTTTTCGTGTGATGCAAAACTTGCTGCTTTGACTCGATTCTGACTCAGTGTCACACAATCGTGCGTGACGATGGTGTAGTGGTTAGGCCCTTGCGCTTGCACCTCGGCTACCCGGGTTCGAGTCCGAGGAGAGTCCATTTGAATTTAATTGCATAATATCACATTTTTTGACTGATCGCTCAAAAAACGGTCAAAAACTAAGCAGATTATAGCTTAATTGTAAGCTTAATTGTAAAAATAATAATTTGAGACCACATGTAACCCAATAAAAATAATGTTTGTCTCTTTTTGATCTGGGACTTATACATGTCTAAAAGATAGGCAATAAATAAAATTATTTATTGGAGCAAACCCTGATGTTGATACTCTGAAGAAATATGTTCCAACATCTATTCTTCCCATTCATCCATTCTTTTGGACATCAATTGCTTTTTTATTTTGCATAATCTATGTATAATTACATTGCTTTCATTTTGTTTTTGTTTTTTTATCTCATATGTATAGATAATAATAATAAAAAAACATGAATCAAAACATTCATTCAACATTAGCACGGCTATCATGGCAATGTGAGAGACAGACAAACAACTGATAAAATAATTCCCTGTGTTTGCTGCTGGATTTGGTGTGTATCTGGCAACCTGAGTCAGGGAGAGTGGGAGAGGACTACAAAATATTGACTGTGACTGCAGTACCACTTTTGGCCAGATTTTTACATATTGCTCATTTAAGCACTTTGACTTTCCTTGTATAAACTGTGCTTATAAACTTGCCTTGTCTTGTCTGTATAAGTATTGATTTCTACTTGTTTATGTTGCACTAGAAACATACCAGTTTAAAGTGTGGAAATATATGACAAGTAATTGTATTTTACATTTATTTTACTAACCAAAATAAAAACCCTTCTCATGATTTAGGCAGCAACCTAAATCATTACAATTTCATAATGGAATCAATAGAGCCAACTCAGACCAGTGCTATTTAAAGAAGGGAACAACAACAACACATGGAATAGGGAGATAAATTGGTAGAATACAATGCTGATCCATCAAAAATGTTTTTCATTTCATTTTTCATTAAAACTCTTTTCCCACGTAGAAAGATGCTGTCATCCTCTTATTAGAAAACATGTTAACGATTGGCAACTTGACAAATGAGCGCAGTGAGTCATTAAATAACACTTTGGGCCAAGGAGGTGCTTCAGTAAGTGAAGTATAGACATTATTACAATAATGTCTATACTTATAGACTCAAATATCATAAAGCCTGTATGCTTGTTTGGCCTGAGTTGCTATGGTAACCCACCACAAGTGCCGTATGGACTGAGGCGTGTGTCTAATGGCCACCAGCGCCGCTCCCTGGTTGAGAAACAGCACGGCGTATTCCTCGTTGAAGATCTGCAACGACACAATCACGTGGTCAACTTTTATAAAACAAACGAGTCGTAGTAAATTCAACACAAATGTACTGCAGAGTGTTGTGTGAGTGTGGCCTTCATGTTTTTCCATGAGTTTCCCACTGTCCCATTGTTCTTCCAGTGTGGGTGATCTTCCGTACGCTTAACAGTATTTGAAATTGAGGTCTATGTGTCCTGTGCTGATCTAAATTACCAAGTAAATATAATCTGTATTTATTATAACCTTTATGATTGTCTTGGAATGTGTTTGTAATTGAAAGCAAAAGTCATCACAACAGACAATAAAGTTATTCTGTTCTACTATTTTCTATTAAACACAATAAAATAAAACAAAATCGATTAATACAAGTTCCTTTTTGCGTAATTTATTGATTCATATTTGCAATTACCATAATTTCTGATATGTTTTGTGAAATGGGCTGTTATCTGAGCAGAGTTTATGAACTTCATATTTTGACTCCATCAAGTTTCAGTATCTATATAGGACACTTGTTGGTAACACTTTATAATACTTTTTGATTATAAATCATGTATAAATTTTAAGTAATCCTTGACTACTGTAAGTATGTTTTTCCATGCATATTGGTTCACGTCTGGGTCAGGGAGCCAAATACAGAGTTATTCACAAAAATATCGGGTTGCAATGCTGACACAGAACCACAGAGACAGACCGGGACAGACAGACACATACATCATCCAACTAGACGTATGACATTTGGTTGTCACAAGTCAACGCAAGTTGAACTGTGTATCCAAAAAAAGGAAATAACAGATAACGTTTTAACTCCTCCCTGACGTAAAAGTATAGAAAGAAAGCTCTGTAAATGATTAAAAAGTCTGATTGAATGGACAACATGTGCCGCTCCAATTTGAACTCCTGTCCATTATATGCATTTAAAATACCTTCCTTCATAAACTACAAGTTTGAGCATTTGTTTTATTGCATTTCTCTGATTCATATAATTGTTTAAGCCACATTGGGCGAGTGTTCCAGATATTCAATTAATGTGTTCATGCAGGCTATTCTCCGGCCACCAGAGTTTGAGCCTGTGATCATGTATAATCAATTAACCCTGATTTACTAGTACTGAATAGTACTGAAACATTTAAAAAAATCTTAAAAATATACATTAATTTAGTGTCAAAACAGACTGGTGAATGAGTACCAGCAGGGAAACGAAGTCTGCTCCTACCTCCACAGCACACCTGCCTTGGAACATATACTGTACATTTCTCCTCCCTCATAATATTAACTTTAACATCATTATTTTTCATAGCCGACTTTAATCAGAAACAGGCTCAGTAAATTGCAAGCGACAAGATCAAGAGAGGAAAGGGCCACCCACTCGCGTTTTCAACCACCACTGAATTAAATTATCTGTGAGATATGATTTGATTATTGGACATAAAGAACAGAGATGAGAGTACACTGATTAAAAGGCTGCAGATTAGTATTAAGTGAGAGAAGATAAAAAAGCAATAGAGAGAAGGGAGTTGTTTGCTCAAAGGGCGAGCTAAGTCATGGTCTTCTTCACACTTCTGACAGACCTCCTCGATCACATTTTTCCTGTAGATAAATACTGTATTGTTGCATACAAGGTCTCGAGAAGGCGAGGTCAGTTCGAGGCTTTTTCATCGTTCTGTGTGTGCCTTAATGTTTGCAGTAACAGATAAAAGGCTTCATATTTCCAAGCCATGCATTATTGGTCCGAAAACAAAACACTTAATTGCCACATTATTGAAGAAAATTCTAGTTTAGAATCGGAACAACACAATCTTATTTATATTTCCACTTGTTTAAAGATCGTAGGGAGCAAAGAAATTAAAAAAGCGTCTCTTTATCTTAAATATAGCATTTGAAATTATTATTGATTATTTGAAATAGTGAAACTTCATGGCAGAATGTTGAGCTGGGTTGATAGTAGAAGTTTGTTTAACACTTCCAAATGCTGTGACACTTTATAAGTCTTTTTCTGTGGGACTGTAAAGGGGTTAAGGAAATAACTGTGTATTCCAATTTAAGTGCACAACTTACATTTTACATTTGGCAATAATGTTAGAACAATGTAATAGTACTTACAATAATCTGAGTCACGCTTCAGCAATTCCATTATGTACAACTACAATTTCTTTTACCCATTAAAAGGCAAGATATGTTTTATTTAATGCTACCGTTTATAATAATGTAAATATAGCCATAGGATAGGGCAATAGAAAACAAAACAAAGTGGTCCTCAAAATGTTGCATTTGAATCCCATCCATTTAAATACCTTTAAGAAACTGATTTAATATTTTTGAGCTCTGATAGAAAGGACAATATTGTGGAAATCTCAGGGGTAGGGTGTAGAACTTGTTAAGTCCATCAGGTGGGCTCAGATTAGAGCTGCTACTCCTTCACATCCAGAGGAGCCAGGTCGGAGGTGGCTCGGGTATTTGTTTTTTGGGTGCCTCCTGGACACCTCCGCACCACCAGGACTGACTAAGGGCGCATTCATACTACTCGGTTCACTTTAACTGGACCGAGCCTGGTTCACTTTGGGCAAAACTGCTTCACAAATCTGTTTCAAAGGATGTCAACTGACTTAAGTCACTAGTGGACACAGGTTTACTTGTTTGGTGGTTTTACATCCACAACTAGTCTATTTTTGCCCTTAATTAACTAGAATTGGTCCTTTTGAAGTAAACCATTCTTAAAGTTTTCCATCTGGCCTGGGAGAGTCTTGGTGCCAGACTTGGAAACAAAAAAAACACAATTAAACGGCTGGATAGCTGATGATTGTTTGCTTATTTTGGTCTCACCTGTCTCCATGTGTTTCCTGCGTCTGATGTGATGAACACGGTGACATTTGTGGTGGTCAGCTCGCCCCCAATAGATCCTGAGGAGAAAGAAATAAACTATTTGTATTCCACGCTCCAAACACAGTTGGATTTGAATGTATCTTGTATCTTATCAAGTCACAGATCTTATAGTTAATTCTTGCTTCTTCATTACTCTGATGCTAGAAATTCTAAACTTCTTTCTACTATTTTGCTTCTTTACTATGCTAAAGTGAAAGATTTTATAGTTTACTTCTATATCAAAAACCTATAATAATACATCTTTATTCCAGAATCAAGGTCCATTTAAAAAAACAAAACAATACAAAGACACCACAGACACAGACGAAAATAAAAGTCGGATTTGCTTCTTCATTACTCTAAGGCTATTGAGATAATTCAATTCAATTCAATACTCTATTTTGGACACAAGAGTAAAAACGTCCATACCAAAAAGACATACATAAAAACACAAAAAAAAGAAGTCTCCTTTTCAGGCCCCGAAGCCAATGAGTCAGTAATTGTTTGTTATGCTAAAGCTAGCTAATTTATTTTGTTTTAATATAGAGTCACTGTTCATTTATCATGTATAGTGTGCGCCTCATTCATACTGTTCTGCAACCATTGATAGAACACTGACATTTCCCCACTGTGGGACGAAAAAGGCATTTTTTAATCTTAAAACCTGTAATATTTTGAACATCTGTGGAGTGAGAGTTGTCATGCAGAACTGTGCAGTGTGCGGAGTGACATTCACACATTCACTCTCTGAAATTAGGCAATAAATCTACAAATTAGGCATCTCCTCCTCGGCACGACGGCATTACGACGGCCTCGCGAACGCACCGCTCTGATTACTTTCATTTAGCCGTAAGTGGAGCAGGTGGTTCAACATGAGGCTGCGGCTCCGTACCTCCGCAGAGGTGAGAGGAGTCCTAATAGTTTGACTGAGATTAGCGCCATTAGACACTGAAACAAGCCACACAGGTTTGTACAGTCACCGGAAAAAGCTGGGAGAGTCAAGGATGTTTTAGATCCTGGAAAAGTTTGGGAGTCGATTCAGACTCAGATTAATTTTATTTGCCATTTGCAGTAAAACCACATTGGAATAGATTTGTAAAAGTCCCCAGTGTGCACCAGACAAGTACAGGATTAATTAAACAAAAAGGATAAAACAAACTAAAAAGTGCAGGAAACCATTGACACTGTGGAATCGCTCAACAAAAACAGTTTCAATACAAGTGCATTGTGGTTTTGGAAAAGCTTTGGGAATTAAAGGAGCAATATGTAATATTTGCATGTCAAGTCATCATTAAATGACCCGAATATTTCAAAAGGCGTTATTAAATCATACTCTTTTCGAATTCATCTTTAACTGATAACAGTAGTTCAGCCGAGATATTTGATCATCAAAATTAGTTTTACGACCCGCAAAAGTTGTTATTGTTTTGATTTTGATGTCCTACCCTCCGCCGTTTCGCCAATCAGGAAGTGTCATGTACGTCCGTGATCGGGTTGCCAGAACTCCGTGCGGCTCATTAATCTCAGAGGTAAAATAACATGTGGCGTAGAACTAAAAAAGGTCTTGTTATGACTCTCAAATAATTAATGACAAAACAAAGACTAAAACGAGGATTTATATCGGGATGCCTTTGAACAATTGAGACAGCTGATAAAAGTTTACGTGTGATGCAGAATTTTCTAGTTTGATTGCGTTCTTCACGGTGTCTCTGTTCGTGTGAACCGGTGGCCTAGCGGTCTAAGATGCGCGCTTACGATGCAGGAACCCGGGTTCGATCCCGGGCTATGTCTTTTTGTATTTATTGCATGTGATCACATTCTATGACAGATTGCTCTAAAAACGGTAAAAGATGAAGGTCAAGACGTTTTTTTGCAGATTATAGCTTAATTGTAAAAATAATCATTTAAGACCACATGTACCCCAATTAAAATAATGTTAGTCTCTTTTTGATGTGGGACTTTTACATGTTTGTCTAAAAAATAGGGAATAAATAAAATTGAAAGGTGATATCCTCTTGAGCAAACCCTGATGTTGATACGCTGAAGAAATACGTTCCAACATCCATTCTTCCCACTCCTATTTTGGACATCAATTTCTTATTTATTTTGCATAAACTATGTATAATTAAATTGCTTTTATTTTGTTTTTGTTTTTTATCTCAAATGTCCAAATTATAATAATAAAAAAACATGAATCAAAACATTCATTCAGCATTAGCACGGCTGTCATGGCAATGTGAATGGAGACGGACAAACTGATAAAATAATTCCCTGTGTTTGCTGCTGGATTTGGTGTGAATCTGGCAACCTGAGTCAGGGAGAGTGGGAGAGGACTACAAAATATTGACTGTGACTGCAGTACCACTTTTGGCCAGATTTTTACATATTGCTCCTTTAAGAAGTTGCTTTATCTATAGAAAATAAATATTAATAAACATGTCTAATCAAAAGGATACATCAAGAACTAATACATACACCTGTCACGTGGTTGCATGAAGAAAAAGGCACAAAAATCCAGAACTGAAAAACTAGACAAGACAAACTTGGTAGAGACAATGGACAGACAACAAGTGGAGAAAAGCACAGGGTATAATATTTTATTCACACACACACACACACACACACATTAGGGCAGGGCTAACAATCAACAGGACACACTGGAATCAGGAAAACTCAAAATACAAGAGAACTAAAAATAAATAAAACCAGGTTAAAATAATCCAAAAAGTCCACACCATGACAGTATCCCCCCTCAAAAGGACAGCTCCCAGATGTCCCAAGGCGCAGGAGCCCAGGAGGGTGTTGGGGGGGGATCCGGAGAAGGAAAAAAAAATAAAAAATAAGACTGAATATTACTGGAAGTCCACGGTGGCACATTTCAAATGAATTGTCCATGACAAAGCGAGAGACGAAGGTACAGAAAAGTCCAACAGTGACCAGACCAGGTGGGTGGAAAACTGGGGCCCAGTGACGACCTCCAACAGGACGGGGGAACAGAAGACCACCCCGGACGGATCATGATGCCCGGCGGTGGCCCAGACACAGAAACCGAAGATTACCACCCCAGACGGAACACTTGTCTGGCGATGGTTTCAGGGGAGGCAAAACTGAGGTTGTCAATGGGCAGCAGGCGTAGTAATCAAAACAAAAATCTGTACTTTAAGACAATGTTCAGGGTGGTGTAGCGAGAGCCAGGTGTGGATGAAAAGCAGTCCGCTGGGTTCCAATATGGTCCGTCCATTCTGTCACGTGGTTGCATGAAGAAAAAGGGAACCCAAAATGCAGGACTGAAAATCAAATGTAATTTTATAAAAATCGAAATCCAGAGAGACAAAGGCACAAAAATCCAGAACTGAAAAACTAGACAAGACAAACTTGGTAGAGACAATGGACGGACAAGTGGAGAAAAGCACAGGGTATATATACACACACAGGAGACACAGGTGGATCACATTAGGGTGGGGCTAACAATCAACACGACACACTGGAATCAGGAAAACTCAAAATACAAGAGAACTAATAAAGTTAATAAAACCAGGTTAAAATAATCCAAAAAGTCCACACCATGACAGCACCAGTTAGCTTAATTTGAAACTGCATTGATAGGGAATGGAATGAAATGGAATATTAATCAGAAATAGCTCTAATAAATCTGCAGACAGCTCTTCTGAGAGAAATAAGTAAGTTCCAGAATCCCTTTTTACAAGGAAGTCCGGGCCCCAGTGAGAGGGTAGCTAATGTACATGTTTTTAGTGGTAGGGGAAACCGGAGCACCTGGAGGAAACCTACACAAACACAGGGAGAACATGCAAATTCCACTCTGAAAGGGCCTTTCTGGAGGTAGATTTCAACCCAGGACCTGAGCGCTAACCACTCAGCCACAGTGTTGCCCAAAGTTCTTCAAGGTTATTGGAAATCTGGGCAATCCTGATTTTGTTTGCAAGAATAATAATACTATCCAAATCTAATAACGTTTGGAGACACTTTTTGTCAAAGTGCCTCAAATGAGCAAAGTGGGATAATCGCTCAAGGACAAACTGCCCGTTTCAAAGGAGAATACACTATTAATGTATTAAACTTAATTGAGAAAAAAAAAAAGCATTTTGATAGAAATATATGCACACTACCGGCTCATCTGTAACAGGATGAGTCAGTATTACTCACAAGGACGAGTTGAAAGAAACTGGAGATGTTTTGCTGTAGAAGTTAAGCATTGTGTGGGCTGGTTAATACTGTGATGGGAGACTGCTACGGATATTAGGTGCCAGAGTGGGATGGCTGATTTTCTACAGTTCTAAGCCATCTCCATCAACATTGCACTTTACACACAATGCTCACTATGAGTCTGGTGACTATGACTATGGTTTGACTAAATGGTTTAAGACCGGAAGAAATCTATTGACAAATAAAACAAAAAACGAGTCATTATAATTCTGATAAAAGTGGTAATGCTTTAAGTAAGACATGGGATAAATGAAAGTCTGTCATTAGTAATCAACTATTCCACATGTAGGTTTATATTTCAAAATTAAATTAAACTCAGTTAATATTTTTGTAGCAGACGCCTCAGAGCTCGAAACTTCGCCAACACAGATTAGAGAATCAAGCAGTTACTAATAATAACAAACACATTGATTATCAATCCATAGCGAGTGGACAACCAATGTCCAAAAATGTTAAGGAATGTTCATATAATTGATCTGAAAAATCAATTGAGTTGAATTTGGGGGAATATAGAGAGACGTTTGTTGGCATTAATTTGGTTGCAATTAATTAATGTTGGTCTGGTTCACTTTAACTGGACCAAGTCTGGTTCACTCAAAAGACGTAAACTGACTTAATTGAAACATGTTGATTGTTTGGGGGTTTTACATGAAAAAATAAAGCATTTTTTCCTAAGGTGAACCAGAACTGGTCAAGTTAAAGTGAACCACACCCAGAATTAACGCATCCTAAATCATGAACAGGGGTCGGAGAGTCAGATGGTGCAGAGTGGGCGGCTGTGGCTATAGTTGCTCACCATCACGCAGCAAGGAGTGACTGAATAATGCAGTGTCAAGTGTCTCTTTGGCTGCCCAAAACAGTGTTATATAAGTCTGCTGCATTATTATTTAATACAGAACGTTACTGATGAAAACAAAAAAATTTCCTCTCCAATGACAGGTTCTTCTTTAGTCACAGCTGTACGGGCTCTCTAACAAATGATACCACATCCTATGGGTCAAAATAGGTTGAAAACCACCACTATCATGGAGTTTGGACAATAAATCTATCCCACATGCAATTGTCTCCCAGTACTGTATAGTTATGCTCGACAGTTTACCGAACACAACCAGGCATACATTTGCCGGCAATATTTTGGAGATTTTTGTGAATAGCTATGTATTGTCAAATACACAAATATTCGTTTTATTCTAAACTACTCAAATGACTCTGGATAGAAGTCTCCATCCAGTTCCAGTCCCCATGTATTGCGACTTTAACAGGTAAGATAGCTTGGAGCCTCTTGTGGTATTATGGATGAGGTTTTGCCAATTCTCCTCAGCACAAAGCCTCCAGTTCCCTGGGTCACCTTTCATAAACTGCATGTCTACAATTATGAATTCCACCATTTTGTTGTGTATTGTTGTTGAATAGGTAAGATGAGTGGATGTGTGTGTGTGTTGGTGTTTGAGGGTATATGTGGGGACTTAATGTGTTTAAGAATAATAATAATAATAATAATAAAAAAGCTAATTGTTTGCGATCTCCCCGGCTCAATGACGTTATAATTTCAAAATAGAAATCACAATATATTGACAATATATTCACAAACAATGAAAACTTTGGATGAGTATGCAAAGTTTCAAGCAAAAACTGTACAACTGAAGAACATGACACATTTTTTTGGCACTTTTACGCCCCTTATATTGCCTCTTATGAGTATATTTGGTGAAGTTTCATAAGGACCCTCCTGCTCCCCTTCCCCTGTTGTTGTTTGTGCTTCATCCCTTACACCCTGGGACATCAGAGTCGTGGTGCTGATGCTTTATTGACAATGGAGGCGCACACTGAGTAGATATCAGCGAGGTGTGAATTCACCTGGGGCCCTCGGACACATATTGCACTTTTGCTCCCCCTTTTCAGTTTTTTATTTCTCCAAAGCCAATAATATCTTTGTCATTTTGTGCGAGGCCGGTGCATCTCCAGGCCTTGCTGCTGGATCCTGGAGTGAAAGGTGACGGGACACATGCAGGTCGTCTCCGCAAATACACAATACAAAGATTTATGTGGAGAATATTATTCGAAAATGACAACTTTTAAAAGTTTTTCAAGTGGTGTTTACTTTCTTATTTGTGTTGTTTTTGTCGTTTTTTTCAAGTTTTATTTATTTGTTTATTTGACAGGGACATGGCCCAATAAATGTATTCTTCAGACTGGGCATATAGCTACGGGCATACTGTATAGTTGTCCCTGAGGCAGAGGCAAAGTGACAGCAGGTTTACAGTGTGCAAAAAAAATGTTAAATAGAAAGGCCTAGTTAGCATTTAAAATACCGGTAAAATACCACAAAGAGACACAATATCTACATCACACAATTATGTACATCTGATTAATGACTGCAGACTGTATTGTTGCAGTTAGTATGGAATAAAGAAGACATTTTAAGGAAGCAGGTTTTGATGTGTTTGATTTTGTAAAGTGGTACAGGACAAGTTCATCTCTTCCTGGAAGTTTGTCGTCAAAACTTGCCATGTCATGTCAACAAGAGGGTGGGAGCAGGGGTGGGAGATTTACAGAATTGAATGTTTCTATATAGCACAGTTCATGCACAAGGCAAAAGAAGACAGACACAATCATACAAGAGATTAAAATCATAAATAATGACGGAGGGTGACTGTGAATATGTTATAATCAATGTAGCAGACAAATAGAGTGTTATTTTTATGCTAATGTCGAGTTTTTTTGTTGAAGAATTACCTGATGCGATTATAAGCCCTGGCGCTGACTCTTTGCTCGCGATATTTCCTGACGTGTAAGGATTGGCCGAGACGTGGAGATGAAGGTGCAGGGAGCAGTACGGCTGCAGAGAAGAAGAAGAAGAAGAGATGGGAGTTATTCCACAACTTCCCCAAGTCAAGCGGAATCAATCACTCAATCGTTCAAAATAAACTGCAATGAAAAAAAAAAAAATACGGTTTCCAACAAAGCCTCAAATGCAACACTCAAGTTTTACCCGCCATAAGATTTCCCCATTGGCCGGACTCACCATTAATTTTGATTGGGTTAACCTTTACAGACACGATTCTCATTACCAAGCAGCCAAATGCCAGTGTGCAGCCAGTGTTGTGTCGGCCTGTTCAGAGGTTTATTAAAACTATGACATTTCCTGACAAATAACTGTATAATACAAAGCAGAAGGCACAGGGCTGAATGGCTAATTGGTTTATCAAAAGTGAGTTATGTGTGTGTGGATTTCTATGTAACGTCACGAGAGAAAGTTTACAGAGGTCATCGATTCGACCTGTTTATGATTTTTGGTTTAAGAGTAGGCATAATAATAACAATATCAAATTTGAGCTTGAAATTTTGTTTGGTACACTTACAAATATGATAAAATATGAGGTAATAAAATCGAGAATCCAGCGGTTAAACATGATTTGCCAATGGGACAAAGCCATTATTCTTATTCAAGAACTGTTGCTTTTTTTCACATTCCAAGGGAGACATTTTGAGTATCTTTTTAAAACAAGATCATTTGCTTGTCCCATTTGCAATTCTTGTTTTAAGGCAGTCAGAATGTGCTCAAGATAAGAATAAATATAAAATATAAGAATAGTAAAAATAACATTTTTGACTTATTTTTCAACACTTTGTGCAGTGTACACACAGCATGAATAGTCTGTGAATATATATATATATATATATATATATATATATATATATATATATATATTTTTATATACACAAAAAGTGTAAAGAATGTGTGCGTTGTAGACTCACTCTAGATCCTTCTTTTCAAGTTTAGCCCTTGTATGAATCGTTTTGAATGAAAAGAAGAAGAAAATTGTCCAGTTTGAGCACATTTTGACTGCCTTAAAACAAGATTTGCAAAATTATCATGTGTTCAAAATGATACAAGAAATGTCTCTCTTAGAATGAGAAAATAAAGACTAAATGGCTTTGTCCCATTGGCAAATATTGTTTTAAAACAGACAAAATGTATTCAAATTAAGATAAAAACTTTTGATTCAAGCATTTATTACTTCAAATTCTATCATTGTAATATATTAGATTCCGATTGTTGAAAAAATCAGATTGAATGTATGGTCCTTGTCATATATCTCTCATTTCAAACGGTTGTACGTGACACTTTAACACAGGCAGTGGGGAGAGGAGCCTTTATACTGCTGTCAGACACCTCGTCTTGCTCTCTGTTTGGTAAATGGGAGGTCAGCTCATTGGACTGGATCAGAATGGCTGCCCTTTTAGCTCGGAGCACTCAGCTTTGACGGCAGCGTGAGTCACTCAGCTCCGGTCTCGGCCTTTTCTTTGGCAAAATGAAAACACATCCACACATCTGTACAGTAGAGATACAGAGGTGGGAGTGCTCCGTGGCATTATATAGAGAACACATACTGTATATATATATATATATATATATATATATATATATATATATATATATATATATATATATATATATATATATACTTTTTTATTGCATATGCCATTAAACACCATGAATAGCTTACGTTTATAGAGTCATGATTAATCAACCGTCTGGTGGATCACTTTTTGAGTCACTATATTTACTTGAAGCTTGGCGAAGTCTACCTCATCAAGTACATTTATAATATTTGGTTTTAAACACTTTTTTCATCAAACTGCATCTCAACCATTTTAGTGAAGGCTTATAAATAACTAGTAAAAAATACAAAAAAAGAACATATCTAATTACTTGTGTTTTCGAAAAAAGAAAACAAATGAACATTAAAGGGTTAGTTAGTAAGTGCAGGAAAGATAATGGCTGTGAGAATAAAAAATAATAATAAAGTAGTGTAAATGTTTAAAAATTGTAAACAACATATTGAAGTAGACATACAGTACAGTAGTGGTAAGAGTGGAGACATGCTCAAAGCTAATTTACTAAGGATGGGAAATATTTATTTAGAAATTATAGCGAGAAAGAACTTGTTCATAAGTACACTTTTTAGTCATTTGTATTATTATTTATCATTATCATTGAATTTTACATTGCACTGATTGTGAACACTCAAAGACATTGACAAAACAATTACGGTCTAATCCACAAATCCAAAATTTGACCTCTATACTTCATACTTTGACTCGGCTTATGAATTGAGCAAAGAGTATTCCTGCATGTGTAACTCTTGTGTGTTGTGTGTTTTGAGTGTGTTTTGAGAGCGCATCTCACCAGTGCACAGTGGACGTTGTTTCCCCGCAGGTCTTTGCTGGGCGCCTGCAGCAGCCTCCAGTCTCGCCCTCGGTTGTAAGTGATGTACGTTTTCACCTGGTTGTCCATCCGTTTGTTGGCTAAGAACATGCCTTTGATTCCAGCCACCTGCAGAAACCAAAAGGGAAACTCTAAAGCAATGGAACTTCATACAAATAGACAAACACGCGACAGTAATAATACAGTATATCCATCCACATGTTTTTATTACGTTTTGGGGGATAGACCTATGAAACAAACACATTATTTCTGTTTTGAAATTAGATCACTCATCTAGCAACTTATCTCCTACTTTGGCAACTAACGGCCTGAGTTCAAGCCTGAGTCCAGGATCGATAGCCTGATCCCTCTTTCGATAATCACTTTGAGGTTTCTCACTTTTTCCCCACTTTCTTGCTGAAGCAGGAGAGTCTAAGGACAGTGATGATCCGGGACATTTAAGTACATTTATTAACACGTATGGGCATTGGTCATCCTGGCTCCTGTTGTTGAGGAATCCACTTTGGAACGTTCTCCGAGATGACTGCTGCGGTGATTTAGATACATTGAAATTAATTGGGTTGATTTTTTTATTTTTTCATTTAAAGCAACACTAACTTGATGGAAACTGTAGGTAATTTCATTATTTCTATGTATTTATTTATTTATTTATTTTGAACCTGCACAATACATATGTTTACATTAATCAATATATCAATATCAGACAAATAAGTTGTACCTGGTTCGAAAAGCATGACGCTAATGCTTATTTGATTCCAAAACCCATCATACATACACTGTTTTAACAATATCATGCAGTAAAACACAACCACCGATGGTATACAACAGACAAAACAAAACACACACGCACTCTGACAACACACAGGCCCAAACACTCTCCGACCCTACACCTAGTTTCACAATGGTCCCTATGAAAAAGGCTCATAAACACTTATTTTAATAATATTGTAAATTGCAATATACCATTTTCACACAATATATTTTTCCTTGCGTTAAATCTGCCAACCATTCTCCAACTTCACATACAAAGTTCAATCCATTTCACACTAGCTCAGAACACACATACTTTCCATGCATTTTAAGTCAAGTGGCAAACTCAAGAAAACAAACTCCACGCCCCAGAGCTACCTACCCGCACACTAAGTTACCAAGCGCCACTAGCCAAATACAAACACATCTCACTCCAACACTGAGTGGGTGTCATCAACCGCAGATAGGCCCCGGACCCAGTAATCAATGTTGCTTTTAAATGGATGTGACTTGTTGTTAAGAGATCTTCCGCCGGTCCCCGCAGGCCGGTCAGACACTGAATGTCCACTTAGATAATTGGCAGGTACTTTCATCTACGTGGAAAGCAGATTTAGCATATCCTGCCTTTTGGGTGGCGACCTCAATCAAGACAGTGGATCTGAGTCTATAAGTGCGAACGCTCCGAGACACGAGCCGCATCACTCGCAGATTAATGAGCCGATTGAGACGATATGGGAGGAAATAGGAGAAGGCTTTTGTCATCTCTGCTACAATCTTTCTAAATTTGAGGGACAGCTAGAGATGTCACTACTTTATTTTGGGTTAGTTAAGCTTGGGCCACATCTTCTGAATGTTTTTTTAGAGTTTTCTAAGGACAGTGGTGATGATCTATGACACTACATTCAACAAGATTTATGAACATTTACCAACATTTATGGACATTAGTCACCTGCCCCTTGTGGGCGAGTGACTATGTTTTTTTTGTAGAATTTTCTGAATTTTAATTCTTTTTTTAGGGATATACAAAGATACATTTAATTGAATTCAACTGAATCTTGGTCCTGTTGAAAAGTGCCTTTTGGTTGAATTGCTTTTTTTTTTCTTTTTGAAAGAATTTGGCCATATTCTCTCCTTGTTTTGCAGTACTGTGACACTTCTACAATACCATTGTTTTATCTCATTAGACCTTAGTCATTTTATAGACATTTGAATGCCACAAATATGTCAACATTTAATTTAATGTGACACAAAAGGCACAAGCAATCAGGTATAATGTTATTAATGTGTATGTATGAGCCACATAGCAGTTGATGTAGTCCTACCCCCATGACATAGAGCTCTCCCTGCATATTGCTTAATTAGTTGAAGCTAGGTCCAATACAAACCCATTAAATTCTATAATGAAATACTTATATCTCCAACTAATATCACCTAAATTACATGGACTGTTTTAAAATTTAAATGCAGATGACCACTTCTAAAAACATGAGGAATGACATGGAAGAGTTTGTAACCACTTTGTTAAAGGACGTGATAGCCATGGTTAATAGATTAGTAAGGTTCATCTTGTTTTCCTAAAAGAAAAAAAGTTATATGTGTCCTTCCAGAGCTAAATCTAGTCGGAGCTGTTGCTCTGTGAACTGGTTGCAGCTTTAAATGCCACAGCCCCCCCAACCCAGAAATGGATTAATGGGAAGTAGAGGGATGGATTGTTCTTATACCAGACAAGAGTAAGTCAGCGATGTTATTACCTTGACATCACCTTGTTATCACAGAAGTATACCATTAAAACACAACTTACTATTGCCTAGTATAGAAGAACCAAATACCGTTATTAGCCATCATTAATGTTGGAACCATCCATTATTTCATCAATATATATCTGAAAATATCACGCAGCCTCCCAGCTCGACTCAACAGCAGTCACTAAACAATCTCCGCTCTCTCCTTGTTCTGATTTGGCCCATTGCAGAGACTAATATCTCTTGTTATTCATCAAAGAAAGAAATAATCCGCTCCTCCCAAAATCCATATCCTTGGCACAATCCCTGCGCGTCTTCTTCAGTGTCAGCGACTTTGAAAGTGCTTGGTATTCTCTGAGTGAGTGTGGAGGAGTGTAGGCCTACAGCAGTTCGTTTCCAAAATGACAAAACAACTTCTCCTCATCGTCAGTGCCTCCCAGCTCCGCGATATCGATCCGCGGACACAATACACTTGCGGTTTGGACGCTCATCAAGTCGAGGGTTGGATGATTTTGTAGATGGGTTTTCAAAATTATGGACGGCAGAATGCGTTTTAGATAAAGAGAATTAATGTAATAACAGTTACAAGGGTAGAGATATGGGGACGGGTGCAAAACTAAAAGCATTTATTTGATTTTAGATGTAATCAGTTATTTATTTAGGAAAGCCCTTTGAGAGGCAGCATCTAATTTTCGAGAGGGTCCAATGAACATAAAACAAACGTAATACATGTAATACAATAAGGACACATAATTTACACAGAACTTACATCAATAACAAACACATAGGAGCCATTAGTGCATGTAGAGGGATGACCAATGACCATAAATGTTAATAAATGTGCATAAAAGTCCATAAATGCTCCCATGGACGAACAGTCTCAGTCTCACACTCTAGACTCTAGAGTGTGAGACTATTTGTTAATTTATTTGTGTAAAGTTTTAAAATTAGTTTCACCACCTTTAAATAACTGCCTTTCTACAGTCCTAGAGATCTCTGATGGTTCTCTTGCCTGCGTCTATTTTGGTCTGTTTAATGTCTACTGTGGTAAATGCAAATTAACTAACCTCGTCCAGAGACTAGAGTTGAAAATTAACTTTGCAACCTAAACATCATTGCCCCTGTTTGAATACAATTTCGGAAACTTCCCCTCTGTGGGACGAATAAAGGATCTCTTAATCTCAGTCTTAAATATAGTAACCATGTCTTTTTTTTTACCTCGTACAAATCGACCATGACGTTGCCCTCGATGCCCATGCTGCTGACCACGTTCTCCAGAGCCAGAGAGTAGAAGACTCCCGAAGTGTCGGACACGTACAAGTTATAAGTCTCGTTCTGGTTCCACTCCTGCACCGCTGCCACCACACGGTTATCGTCCGTGCTGATCACATGCAGCTCCTGTAAACAAAACAAGATAGAAACAGTCACACAAGGCATTAATATCACAAAGGTCACAGATTGTTCATGAGGTGGTTATCGCACCTTGTAACCCCATTTACACTGTACAAATTCAGGGTACCTTGCATTGTATTCTGTTTACTGTTTTATGTGAAAAAGTGTGTGGTGCAAGGTTTAATAGACTTATAAACTGTATTTCAACCACGTCACGGATTTTGCCTATTGTGGGTTATTTTTAGAACATAATTCTTGCGATAAACAAGGGACCACTGCATTTCATATGCTGATGAAATGTGCCGTTGGCAGTTTCTCAGCGGCTGCTCATAGAAAGCCAAGCTATCTTTAACTTTGCTAAATATATGTTGCCCTCTGCTTTTAGTCTCTCCTCACATCTTGTCAAGAGTATTCAATATAATTCAATGTATATTTGTATGCAACAACAAATCACAACATTGGTTTTCTCTGAGGACTTTATAAAAGAGAATCAAAAAGTTCAAACACAAGATAAAGAAACTGTCACAAGGGTGAAAAACAAGGAGCTCCAAAATGCAAAATGGCAAAATAATGGATTTAATAAAAAGTAAAACAAAATCAAGATCTACCAAAAACACAGCAAAAAGTGACAAAACCAAGAACACGGACAAGAACTGAAACGGACGAGGAATGACAAGGAGGAATGACACTGGGTTTTAATTCAAGACTAACAAGACACGGGTGATACACATGAGGGCAGGGCAGGTAATCAGACAGGAAGCACAACCAAAGAAGACACAGGGGTTAACAAAATATAAAATAAAACAGGAAAATAACCTGAACCATGACAGAAACACAGAGCTATGGGTCAATAAGGGGCAGATGACCACTGTCCAAAAATGTCATTGAATGTAGAGTGTCCTGGATCATTACCACTGTCCTTAGACCCTTTTTCATCAGCAAGAAGAACTAGCAACCAAAAGCCCTCCTTGTGTTTGTTTTACTCTTTGCTGCACATGGATAAAGTTCAAAGTTTGAACGCATCCCCAATGAGCACGATGCAGCCACAGTAAAAACATCCCAGCACTTTCATCACATCTGATTTCTAATTTCCATTCAAGCAAATTAACCAAGCGCTTGAACCGGTACTTATTTCAATTGTGTCTAGCCTTCCAACACACCTACTGTGCTTAATCATATCCTGTAATCAGGACAGCCATGCACTGCTTCCATATTTTAATTCTAGAGGCAGTAATCCATTATGGCCGGGTCTTGTGCTTCTTCGCCTTCAGTCGCAGAGATGTGTTTGCTCCTGAGCCTCATCTACCGCTGACTGAGCCAGTAGCAGCTCGGTCCAAAGCTGCCGAGAGCCGCCCGGGGCCTGATTGAATAAAACATGTTTAATTGTCAATGGGGACGTGACGGGAGCAGCCTGGGAGAGCCGGAGGAGCGCAGTGGAATAACAATGGTGTGCGCGCTGTTGGAGATACTTTGAGCTGTGATTTGGTCATAAATAACAAAGACAGATCCATGCTGAGCTACTGACGATTTCACGGTGAGCTGCGACTTCGAGCGGAATACAAACAAGAACCGCTGGACGATTATAGGAGGCGGGTTTTAAAATACAAATTATACAAAAGCAGTTGTAGCTGTTTTGTGTCAGGCTCAAGTGGTGATGCGGGGGGTCCGGGAAAGAGGCAATTAAAGTTACATTATGCTGCTGTTGGTGCTAAGTAATGCACTTAACTAGCCTCACAAAAGGAAGTTTGGTAGATGTGTGTAACAAAATTAAAATCAGTTCCCAAACCATATCCTGGCACATGTGACTGGCCATGGAGAAAAAGGGATCAAATCTACGCAGAGGCATTTTGAGTATTTCAGTTTCTGAAAAAGTAGATTCTAAGCTATTCAAAACATCTATTTCTATTCATATTTGAAGGATTATGGTCATTTGAAAGTGAGGTCACCTGAAGTTAAAAAGCTGAGAACAATAGCCTTAATGTTTTTCCTTTTCCGGTTCAGAATTCAATACAAAGCAAATGCTGATATGTCACTGTGGCTCTGGACAAGGAGGGTACAAGTCTAAACAGAGGCCTTTTTAAGTTTTGAATTGGTGGTCATTTGCAAAGACATTTTGAGGGAAACAGTGGCTAAGTTTGGTATAGCATTGGTCTCAATAATTGTGAGCTCAATTGTCTCCACGAGACCTACTCTATCGACTCCCACTGATGTCTGCTGTCGATGTATCCTTGAGCAAGAAACTTAACCCCTCTTTGCCTATCCCCCCTGGGAAAGGGGCCTATCACGCCTGGGAAATGGAAAGGGAGGCAAGAGAATTCTATCACAGTACGACAGGGCAATGGGACCTGGAATGCCCTCCTCTGTACACTCCTTCCCACTTCCAACTACGCTCCTATGGGAGAAAAATGGTTCACAGATGTAAATTGAATGAGAAAAAAGTCTCAAACAGTGCGTGAGGAGGTGTGAAACTTGGGACAAATTAAATACAATATCCGAAAGATTAGATCTGTAAGGTCACGATGTACAGCTGTCACGGACATTCAGTACAACACGCATCTGTGTTATATCCTTACATCCTATATCTTATCCACCTGGAGGCCTAAAAAATGAATGTCAATACCTTTGCAATCATTCTTCAAAGGACGATTCTAAAGCAGTACCTTACAAAGAAGGACGAGAACATCAAAATGGAACTTTGATTCCAGCGATTGTTTATATGTAAATTATGTTTGATCTGAACTCATCCATTCTGTAAAATCACTGGCTTTGTGTCCAGTCCGGGCCCCGTCTGCCTCTGGACAGATCTATACATCACTGCTTCATGAGGAAACTCTGGTGAAACTGCTGCAGACTTGGCATTTGCAATATTCTGATGGGGAAACACAGAAGGATCTAAACTTTATGATTTGTGGAAGAACTTTTGGTCATTAGGGATAAAACAATGCTATGTTTTAGTGTTGATATTTGAGAGAAGATACCCGCATTTTTACAACCATTGACACCTGTAAATACATGTATGCAGCTGAGGTCTTGAAGAAAATGTGAGAGAGGCTTAGTCTCTGACAATATTAAAATCCAGGTTAAACAAAATCTGTCACGCTGTGGATACATCTAGCAATGATTATATCTCCACTGTTTTATGTACAGTGATTCTTTATGATTTGAATGCCTTTTTATTATGATTTTAATGTCCTGTTTTTCACTTTAGAGTTGCCTTATGTATGAACTTTGCTATACAAATAAACATGCCTTGCTTCTCTCTTGTAAAATGTTAAGATAATACTCCATACACGTTTGGCAATTTTCGCAAGTAGAGTTAGTGAAAATGTTATGAAATGTTAACTTTTTAAAAATAACATGTTTTTGGGTTTTTTTATAATACAAAGAAGATCATAGAAAGTCATTAGGCCAAGATTGAGTTGCGTTCGACTTTGGCCGTTACCTTCGGCAGCGTGTACTTGGGCAGCTTCATTGGGGTGAATACATCTCTTTTTGCAGACACGTAGTAGATTGGCCTCCCTGTAGTGGAAACCTTTGGAAACATAAAGAGGCGCCCTTGTTGTAATCACATAACAGAAAAATCCCAAACACACTGCTTTGTAACAGTGACCTTGAACGCGCCCATATAACCCTCAATTCTGTCCCGGAGCAAAGTGGACGATTACAGACCTGCACAAAGACGTACTCGTCCTGCACCACCAGAGAATTGGGGTCGATGAATCCAGGGAATGGTTTGCCCTTATTGGCTTCAGTGCAGTTCTGCAGGCGGCAGGTGACGTACAGCGCCTCTGCACAAGGAAAAAAACAAAAATATACATCATTGTAACTTGTTTTTATATGTCTGGAAAAAAAGACAAATATTCTAAGCCTACTTTAAAAACATAATTTGTCTCGTTGGAGTGGAGTGACCTAAATTGTAGGGGAGGGTTAATTTGACCAATTTCATTCTAATAAGGTTCTTTCCTAAATTAATTTCAGGGCCAGGCCCGTCAAAGACAAATCATCAGGGGGATAAAAAGACATTTAGAATATGCCAACGAAAATAACAAACATGTCTAATCCCATTTAAACCAGGGTACAAACTCAGACCAATGAAAGTTATGTTTATTTACAAAATTTGTCAAATGAGTACAGTGCAGTGTCATGTCAATGTGAACCAATGTGATCTAAAATGAGCAATGGATGAAAAACCCTTTTTTGGGATCACTCGAAATCGGTCAAAATCCGTTGAAATGTCCCATAATAAAGGATTATTTTTGAGTTTCTTCCTGTTTTCTACATCATTGGGCAATTTGTTTATTGACTGATCAAATCAAGGGACATTCAGTACCATTGGTCATCCCGCTCTAGACCAATAGCTCCTGTGTTTGGGTTATTAATGCATTTCTTTTTTATTCTCTGATGAGTTTTTGAGGAATCGACAACATTGTAAAATTCTTTAAAAATTCTTCTTTTACTGAACTCTATTACATGACGGATCAAAAAGCACATGTTGCATTTATCTTTAGGCATTGAACAACTTTTCCTACAGTCTCTGACCATAGGCGCCGATTTATCTTTTCCCGAGCGGGTGCTCTGTCAGCTGCATGGTCACGTGACACGCACATCACATCATTTCCCTAAACAGAATCGCAAGCTACTAGTTACGTTTAACATCGCATAGATGGGGATTTTCTTTATACATCAGGCTACACAGAATACACATACACTGATGCACAACTCACCATTGCTGTCATGTCATAGTAGGAGGAATGTGCCTTTTCTCGCCGATGTGCGCTTGATGAATTCATCGGCGATATCATCCAAACTCTGTTGCCGTGATGTGGTTTTATGGCAATTAAGTAATGTTACGTGGTTCAGCCTGGCGTGTCCCATTGTTGACCGTAGGTATGATTTTAGCCTCCGCAGACTTGAAAATGATCTCTCTGACGTGCATGAAGTTACTGGGACAGTCAGTGCAAGTTTTACCAGTTTAGCTATCTCTGGTAACATGTCTCTTAAGTATTCGCCATCACGTCTTAGAAAGTTAACAACGTCGTCAAATGTATCAAGGCTCACTCCTTTTTGTTTGGCCAAATCCATACACATGTCACGATGCAACGTTAACCTCGTCTCATCCAAATCATCTCCGTGGAACTCAATGATGCTTTCACAGCTCTTCTTTCCAGTGAGAAAATCTTCCACTTTCTTCATGTAATCAAACACGGACGGACTAAATCGAGTGTCCAATGAGGTGACTGCTGTGTCAATAACATCATAGTACAGCTGTCTGTAGACGTCCTCGGGAGTTTTAAATGCGTGCTGCGGGGCACCTCCATCCTCCAGGCGGCAGGGACGTTTACGAGGCCTGGGCACAGACGGGCTCTCAAGATGAAGATCACTTGCCTCACCAACCACGCTTTGCCACAGTGTAGTAAATGATGCTTCTTGGCGAAAAGATTTCATGTCATCTCGGAGTGTGTCTATTATCTGCATTGCTTTCTGCATATGCAATTGCCTCTTTTGGAGTGCAACTGATACCGTTTCAATTCGAGAGAAGAATTTCAGCATCAAGTTTAATGAAAAGAATGTACCAAACTTCTGAAGGTTTAAAAGCAATCCGTTGGCTTTTCCTCCAGCGTCCCCTCGGTCATTTTGAGCCAAGTCTTCCAGAAAAAGTAAGAGCGCACTGTAGTTGTCTGCAATTGACCGCAGTGAGGCCGTAGTCATTGTCCAGCGCGTTGGGCACAGAGGCCTCAAAGCTGGGCTGTCTTTGGTCTGAATCTGCTGAAACCAAAAAAGCCGCTTTGGTGACTGCCTGATGAGTGTAACTAGATCCCTAATAAGTGACATGAAGTTGCGACAAGACAAGTTGTTCTCAGTCACATCGTGCGCCACAAGATTTAAGACATGAGCAGTGCAATGCGTATATTGAGCTCGAGGTTCAATGGTCTGCACGCGGGCCTGTAGACCATTTCTGATCCCAGAGACATTTGAGGCACCGTCATAACACTGGCCTCTACACTTGTTGAGAGGCAGGGAAAATCTTATAAGAGCGTCTTGGAGAAGCTGAAAAAGCGCTTCTGCTGTGGTGGAGGCTGTTTCATAAAATCCAACAAAAATCTCCTCTGGCTGCAGCTCATCAGTCACAAAGCGGAGGCAGATTGACACTTGTTCCTTAACAGTGATGTCCGCAGTCTCATCCAACATGACAGCAAAAAAATCAGCATCTTTTACTTCCTTGAGAAGTGTTCTCAGCACGCCATGAGACATTATTTCTATCATTTCATTCAGAATTTCATGCGACAGCCATTTGCTTTCTTTTTGAGCCAACCACGACCTCAGTTCTGGATTATCTTGTGCACGCAGGTTTAAAAGCTGCATAATATTGGAATCATCATCTGTTTTCCCCCTTATAGCCAGGCCTTGACACAGAAGATATTGGATAGATGATAAAACAGCAATCAAAGCTTTTCTAGCGTCCACCATCTGCTTTTGTTTGGCAGCAGAAAGTGCAGATGTAATATTAACTTTGGCCTTTACTGCTCCACCTACAGTGATAGCGGCTCGATGAAGAGTGGATTTTTCATGACATTTAAATCGTTCAATAGCCTTGCTCCAACTTGAAAAACCACATTGCACAAAACTTTTCATTGACTCTTTATCATGCGCTGCTTGTGGGAGAGGCGCATTCATTTCTTTAGCCGAGGTACACACTTCACAGAAAACTTTATCTTTTATAGCATCATACGCTATCCAGGGAAACTTAGCTTTCCATGTTTGTTGGAAGGTTCGGCCTTTCTGTCCTTTAGCGGCATTGTCCTGTGTTTCCTCGTTGGTAGATGCTGTCTCATGTATGGAAATATTCTCCTCATTGATGGAATCATCTGATGCATGTTTCTGTCTTATTACAAATCGGTCCATTGTTCTCCTGCGTCGTTTTGCTAGCTTTCTGTTTTTGGCGGTAAACGTTTGCGTTTGTTTTGGCCAAAGTAACGTAGATACGTCACATAATTTAATGTTGACAAATCAAATCAAGGACAGAGGGGTTTTGCCTGGCAACAAGATTCCATCGTGTATGTTGAAGGCAAATTATATTTTTGATATTATTTATGTGCTAGATTCAATTATTATTATATTACTGGTCGCGGTTTTTTGTTTTGTTTTATTACTTCAGGACAAATTTTCCTGGGTGCTCAACTATTTGACTGGGTGCTCCAGCCCCGCAGCACCCACGGTATCGGCGCCTATGTCTCTGACCTCAAACCAGAGCTAAAACTCTTGATCAAACCAGCGCCCAGGCGAACAGCCACTTGTCACCTCTCCATCTGGTGTCTCCTTCAGGTCTTTCCACATTTACTGGTGTCAATAAAGTCTGTGCAGTCTTGCAGTGGCTGTTCTGGTGCAAAGACAGATGACCGCTCGAGCCAATTGCTTTGGTTGCCTTCTATCGCTGGGCTGTCCTCTCACATTAGCCTCTGCCAAAGTGGTGTGGGGCGCCTGAGATGGGGCCTGATGGAGCCTGGCGGTGTGCGGGCCCAACTTGTGACACCTTTGATGTTTGTATGATTAGTTTTTCTCTATTGTGTCAGCTACAAAGGCCGCGGCGCAAACACCAAGGTGGAACAGATGCTCGACGCCGTTTGAAAAGGGGACGGAAACAGGAGGCGCACCAGTTTGATGAATAATAAACAGAAATGACCAGGTTTTGTGTCGTGGTTAATTTACCTGGGTACTAGGTGGCCATTTATGAACTTTCTCAAACTAAAAGTACGATAAATAACAACCACTATTTTATATAGCACATTTTTTGGACACTCAAGATGCTTCCCATGTCATTATTCATTAACTCCAAACACAGTGGCACTATAGACACAGCTGCCCTGGGGCACCTTGACAGAAGCGAGTCAACCAGTATGTGCCATCAGTCCCTGCGACCACACACAACATACTCATCCTAGTGTCTTGCCTAAGGACACAGGGACAGTTTACTGTAGCTCTTGAAATTTCCCCACTTGTATCAGAGAGCTAAGGACTACAACAATATATTACTAAACTGGAAATATAAGAATGAATGATTGAGTGATTTTTTTTGTTTTACTTTTTGAAAGAAAAAACATGTATAAATCAAACATTTATGAAACCAGTCAAAAAGGAAACTTATATCAGAAAGAAATGTAGTTAATATGTTTTTTTTCATTAAGTTAGGTATTGATTTGTAGTATAGCATGTCCATTATTGATGGCTTGAGCACACAATCAACGCATCCCAAAACCTTTTTTTATCGTTCATTAAGTTACTTTTGCAGTAAAACCTCATACAAAAGTGAAAAGTGCACATAAAGCTTACAGATAAATGTGTTAATCGCTCATGTGATAAAGTTCTCAGCAATGCCAAGCCACCTTTTGAAAAAACTAAATACATTAGGATTTTTCTCCAGTCGGATCGAAAAAAGACAACTCAAGAGCAGTGCACTCATAACAAATTGAGCCAGTCCACTTTTACATTAAGCCTCTGCTGTTTAGCGATTTATATTAAATCCATGTAGAATCCCTATTTGACCTCCTATATTCCCTACAGCTAATCTTTTGTACAGACATCTCATTGACTTGGGCCATTGATCATACAATCAATAGATAAATGTTTAAACGAAATGATTAGCACTTTGCAGGGACTAGCCCAGTCAATAGTAGTTCTGGGAGGTCCATAGAAAAACATTATTATTTCATGATTGCACTGACAGCCTGTGTGTTTTGTGGTCGACCGCTTCAGGAAGTATAGGTCTATATACAGTGCACTATAGACAAGATCTACATGAGATGGTGTGTAAGGGGGGCACCACAAAAACTAGCTCCACGCTGCAACTAAAAAAAAATATATTTAAAGTAGTACTAGAATTTACCATACTGCTATCCAGAATATACATGTATAACTACAATATGTGTTTATACAGTGATGGGCAAGCTACTTGATTTGTGTAGTGAGCTAAGCTACAAGCTACTCTACAATAAATTCAGCTTCACTACACAGAAGCTACCACCTATACAAATGTAGCAAGCTAAGTTACAAAATTCTGTCAAAAGTAGCTTGCTATATAGGAGCTATTTTCAATTAAACAAACTGCAGTTCATGCAATTTTATATTTTCCTGCATTAACATGTTTGCTCATTTCTTATTTTTTGCACAATTCTTGAGTGTTTTATCCATGCCAAATGTGACATGTACATTTCTCCTGTGTGAGATTAATAAAGCTTATCTTATTATTTGAGATAAACTGTCAGTCAGATAAAGGTTAAAATTTTGTAGATATTTATTGAACAATAGCCCAAAACACCAAAAACAACAAAGAGTAGGCATCTGAAAACATATTTCTTTTCGCTCATCTCGACTAGAGTGACGTACTTTTGGAGGTATGGCCACGGTACAACACTTTGAGAGTCCTTATCATGGTCCTCCTCCACCGCGGCGGCTCCTGGGCTCTCTGCCATGCTTTTGCTTCCCCCAGTAGCGCGCATGTGTGTGTGTGTGCGTGCGCGTACGTTCGTGTGTGTGTGTGTCGTTACCAAGCCCTGCGCATGCGCATCAGCATTCTGTCTTTCTATATGTTTGTTTTATGCTGCGGGAAAATGCTGTAATATATGAACATCAGAGATGTCCGTGAGAAAATAGCTTTGGCGGACGCTACCGCGCTACTTGAGCAATAATATAGCTAAGCTACAGAAAAGTTACTAGGTTTTGTAAACAGTGACGCTACTGTCAAGCTACTGAAAAATGTAGTTAAGCTAGTAGAGACGCTACTTGCAGCGACGCTACTTGTAGCGACGCTACTGCCCATCACTGTGTTTATAATTAATATTTCGGGTGTTCATTTTGACATGTTCAGATGAATTATGTAAAAAAAAACTGCTTTGAAGTCGCTTTTTCACTTCCGCATAGAAACGCTAGGGGGAGCCAAAATGGCGGCGATGACGTAGGAGAAGGCCATCTCACAGCAGCAGCAGCAGTCTGGGCTGAATCTGTAGGAGGTTTCACTGTCATCTGAACAAGGTATAAACATATTTTCATCTGTTTTGTACATAATAGTGTGCAACTCTTTTAACCTTTTAGCCTTATTTGTGAGATTCAAGCTAATTAGTGTTGGGCAAGTTAGCTAACTCTACTTGATATCATAAGGCTGAGTTTACACGGAGACAATGTGGCAGTAAAACGCTATAGTTGGATGTCGGTTGCTACCAACCGTTCATACGGAGACTGTGTTTCAGGGGGGTGAAAACGTAAGTGTTCAGATCCAGCCTGCAGAGTGGGACAGCTCAGAAACGCTGCACAGCAGGGAGCTTTTTCACACCCGCGAGAGGGGAAAGGTGTGAAATCCCCCTCTGCTCTGACCCCCACCTCCGCGCTGCTCCCCGCACGTAAATTTGGACATGCGCAGTAGCAGAGAACGAACAAAAACAACAATGGCGCTGCGCGCACTAACTAGCTACGTGGGCTTCCAGTGCGTCACAGAGTATAATTCTACTCCTTCGTTCGTCCAAACGAGACCACGCGAAGCTCTAGGTTCAGTTTCCATGTTTACAGCTGCTGTTAAAATGCAGAATGATGTTGGTGCGTTCTGAGTGTCTGGCACAGGAAGTGAGTATACTGCCGAGGGGGGGGGGCTGGGCACGGGGCTGGGGGTCGTGTGTCGTGTTGTAAAGTTTCTCTGCCCACTACTGGCCGGGCGCTAGAACTACATCGTTTTTCAACCTCATGTGAACGCTGAGAAATTTGCATTAGGAGCCAGGTCGTTTCTGTTAATAGCCTGGAAACGTCTGCGCAGCGTCTCAGTATAAACAGGGCCTAAAACATGCTAACAAGGCTAATATTCGTTTTTACATTATGCCAGTCTCACTTTGGTTGCCTTAGATTTATTTACCACAATGTACATTGTAACATCAAAAAATGGTAATCAAAATAACTTGAATTAAATAAATATTTACTTTATGAACAAAAAGCTCCAGAAGTTGAAAACATAGACTACATGTGATGCAATCATTGATAAAAATGCTAATTAAACCGTTAATAGGTGTTAGCATCTTTGGATATTACAATGTACATTATGGTAAATAAATCTAAGGCAACCAAAGTGAGACTGGCCTGGTTGTACCACGCCTTAGTACAAATTACATTTCATACTGAGCGGAGTGTACGGATGGCTATGGCCAGGCTAGAGTGAGACTGGCATAATGTGAAAACGAATATTAGCCTTGTTAGCATTTTTTATGATATCAAGTAGAGTTAGCTAACTTGCCCAACACTAATTAGCTTGAATCTCACAAATAAGGCTAAAAGGTTAAAGAGTTGCACACTATTATGTACAAAACTGAGGAAAATATGTTTATACCTTGTTCAGATGACAGTGAAACCTCCGATCGCTGATCCCACAGTTTCCAGCCAAGACTGCTGTCCGCTGCTGTGAGAGATCATTCTCCTACGTCATCGCCGCCACTTTGGCGTCCCCTAGCGTTTCATAATTCATCTGAACTTGTCCAAATGAACACCCGAAATATAATAAAAGCACATATTGTAGTTATATATTCTGAATAGCAGCATGGTAAATTCTAGAACTACTTTAAATTAATGAATTGCTATATTGAAAAGGGAGACAAAGTTAATTTCATTGAGCTAATATTAGGGACCTCTGGCATAAACAACATTCCGCACACTCTCTGTCCAAATGTTGTGTTTTCAAACTTGAAGACGAATCCTAAGAGAATAATGACATTTTGTGCAGCTGGCTGTGTAAGGCCAAACCGGGAATTAGAGGAAGGTGTGTGTATGTGTATATGTGTGTGTTAAATTACTACTTTATTGTACAAATCTAGACATATCTTTTATTACCTCCTCCACCCGAGCAGAGGTCATCACTAAAAAGGTTCAATCTCCCAATTCATAGGTTCAATCTTAGAGACTACAAATACAAGCGTTTAGACAGTATTTGTCGATCATCAAAGCAGTGCATCTATATATTTTCTACTATACAAGACATTTTGAATACGTAAATATTCTCAAGAGTATCTCTAATGACTGAAATGAAAATAATGTATTTATTTATTTGGAGGATAAGCCCCTAGAGATGAAACATCTCGTTTTCGAGGGGGTCCTCAAAAAGGTAACAGAGGTGACAGATACAATGCAATACAATAAAGTAAACAATAAAGACAAAGGACAAAAAGCAACAATAAACAATACTCACACAAAACAAACTCACACACACACACACACACACACACACTCACACACACACACGCACACACCATGACTGTTGTAAATATATTTGATGCAGACAATAAATAGTGAAAATACTAAACTTATTAATATTAAAGGCAGTAAACATAGGATTATGTAACCCAAAATCAAAAACAATGACACTGATTTTGGAGATTTCGCACAAGAGCATTCTTAAACTGAGCCAGAGAACTGAGAGAGCGAACAGATGAGGGCAAACTGTTCCAATCAGACGGTGCTTTAAATTTACATAATGATTCCTCTAAACACAATCCCAATGTGTTTCAAGCTGTTCCAAATCTGCATTTTACCATATTTTTTGCACTCTTAGGCGCACATAAAAGCCTTTCATTTCAACCTTGCGTCATATAATCTGGTGCACCTTATATACGAAAGAAATGCAGAATTTGTTAACGCGCCTCGTAATCAGGTTCGCCTTATAGTGGGAAAAATGTGGTAATTCCGGTCACATTATTTGCCAGTTTGTGAGTAAACTTTCTATATTTAATTGCCATCAGTGTATCCAGTGTCTGCACCATTTGTCCTTTACACATTTGTGACTATTCGCCTTTCCATTCTACTTTACCAAAAACTCCCGCTGCAGGACGGGCTGAGGCTGAGAGAGACATGAGAAAATGGAGGAGTGAACTGGGAATTCAATTACTCACGTCCTTCCGAGATGCTGGTTTCCAGGTGAATTAGGCCGGCCTCTTTGTCCAAACCCATTTTGGACCTGAAAGGAGAAGCAGACAAATGTGTTTCATGAACATCACCTGCACTTTAGTTCTAATAGAAAAAGCCAAACAGCTGTTCCTTTAGGAAGACGAGAGAGAAGGACGAGAAGTTAAAAATAACACCAGGGCTGGGTTGAAACCAATGTATTATAAAACATGAATCTCATACCTTTGTAGATTAGACACTGTTGTAAAAAGTGGACAGGATTTAAAGAGATCTTGCATTTACTAAATCTCACATGTAATTAGTTGGTGTTTTACTGCAGTCTGAGATCTCATTGTTTAGAAAAAACTCTTCCCCCTCGTTGTGGTGAAATAATGGCGTGTAATGAACATGTCAGGTAATTAAGCAGAAACAGCTTCTTTACACACTTGGTCTAATTAGAAGAACATTTCAAGCCTTAAACATGAACTTTTTTTGTATTTTGTATGTGATAAATGCTTGAGAGTTTTTAATGCAAAAGATAGAGATTTTGTTTTAGTTAATGCAGTGTTTAGAGTTCAGTTATCTTGTGCTGTGTGCTATAAATTATATCAATATAGCATTACTTAATCTGAAAACATTTGGCCTATGATTGCTAATAATGTGATCATTCTGTTTGATTCAAAGGGACCACAGTCTGGCCTCTTTCTGTCGGACTGGTTCAGGGCATATGTGGCTACAGTAGAAGTAGGCTGAAAAACACACATTCGATTGTAATCTAAATGGATATGACGAGAACTTTGCCGCTACAAGAGTTCAATTTCTCCATCGTATCCGAACATTTCGATGACTAAGGAAGACCGTTGCTTTAAACATTTATGATTGAATGACCGGTGCTTTGTCTCCACAGTGATGCCAGACAAACGGAAAAAAAGGCCCTTCAGGATTAAACGCTCAACAGAGAAAGATGGAGCGAGATGTTTCCTGACATCATTAGTGTGGGAAAAGCCATTGATTTGCCAATGCGGCGTGTGCAAGGCTGCAGATGGAACAGCATATAATCATTAGGGCATTAAATATGTATCACACAGACTGGGGGATCAGTGCGGAGCTCAACGGACGGCCGATAAGGATGGATCTGTTCACACGTATAGAACATACACAGCATTAGACAATTTGTCCACAGCTACAAAGGTAAAGTTAAAATCTTCAACTGAAAAAGGCAGATCCTACACGTTGTGGACAAAGAGACTATTCTGCCTGAGGGGAGTTCAAGTTCAAGGAGTTTATTCATCATTTTGGCAAGATTTGAGCTTTGAAACTCACATTTTGAAAGGGAGATTCTGTCTTCTATGACTCCTGACTTTTCCATTTGAGTTCATGAAACTTGAGTCACAAATAACTATAAAGCAAGAGTTAGTAAAGCTGGGTTACCTAACTTCTATATCGTAAATTATGTTAACTGTGTAGAAAGGGTCTTGTAAAAGGGAGGTCCTGTCTTTGACATTTTTCAGTCTGAAAAAACCCTGATCCATGTGGCAGAGGCCAATTAAAATATAGTGAAACTGTTTGAGCAAAGAACTAGTGAGATGGATATTATAACGTACATTTTGAGTGGTCTGAAAGTACAATATATAGTGTTTAATCAGGGTTTTTGATCAGTAAATACACCAGCACTGACTGGCTACTTTTATGTGGAGTCTCATTGTACTGTATGTGCATTTAGTGGTAAGGAAGCCAAGCCTGTGCTCATTGGTGCACCATGACCGTCCCAGACATTTGCAGAAGTGACAAATATTTGAAAAACAAATTAGCTGTAACTCTTGCTTCATCTTGACGGAATTCTCCAGCCTAATATTTGAAAAAAATCTTCATATAGTGTTCTCAAATAACAATAATAGTTCATTCATTGTCTGTGTAAGTTTTGTCTTTTTTTTATGAGCATTTCAGCCGTGTACATGTAAGTAGCTTATTCACTTCTGACAGCTCTGGTAAGGTACTGCATTAGAAATCTTTCTGAAGGTAAGTAATTTCACCGCTCACCCATCACATTCATCGCAGTCAATGTGTCGGCAAGTCTCATGAGGATTTGTACAGTCTCCTTGCTTATATAAATACGGGATACATTAACACACTTCAGATTCATATTTGACTGTAATTGACTATACAAGACGATATATTCAGCATGTATTATTGATTTATTATTTATTTTAAGATGTGTGATTGCATGTGTATGAATGATTTCCATTTGGTCAAAAATATTGTTCAATTCTAATACCTCAATTCACAGATTTCTTCCTCACTTTGTGTGTGGGCCCGGAGGACAGAAGAGAGTATAATTAGGAGGGTATTAAATATGTATTCCACCGACAGACTGGGGATCAGAGCAGAGGTACCACTGCATTTGTCGACAGGAGGACGTCGTAGGGAGTTTGGGCTTGTGGCAACTACATCGGACCTTAATCAGACGTATTAGTGATCTCTGAGATGAAACGCAGACGTGAATATGCTGTCCTACTCAAGTGATCCACATTTAGCATTTTCCACAGCGTGATCCACTCAGGTGCAAAGCAGAGGAAGCAAGAGTTGTAGTAGTTGGAGCTATGTCTGATGTCTGGTTTTACATGTTATAACCATGGTCATAAATTACAAATATTCTAGATTATGTTACACCATATTCTTGGTCTTAAGATAATTATTGTCCCATCACGACAATAGTCGGTAGAGCATTGGAGGTTGTGGGTTCGAGCCCACCACAAGACCTTCTTCACGACTCCCACTGATGACTGCTATCGTTGTGTCCTTGGGCAAGACACTTAACCCCACTTTGCCTGAAGCGCCCTGCTGAATAACCAAGGCTTCTGTGGACTCACCATCTGCAGGAGGATCAGTGAGGAGCTGGTGCTCTGTGTACTGGGTGCAGCTCTGACTGTCACCCCCCCGACCCAGAAATGGATTAAGGGGAAGAAAATGGATGGATGGATGGATTGTCCCATCACAAAATTGCAAACTAAGTCAGTGAAAACAGAGGGAGTGGCTTGGTCAGTGATGACACTCGACATTCAACGACATTTATCAACATTTATGGACTTTGGTCACCTGCCCCTTACGGACTAATGGTTGTGCGTTTTTTTAATCATTAGAGTTCATTTGTTGGCAATTCAACAACTTTGTAAAGTCCTCCGAGATACTGTAATTTAGTTGTAATTTAGGGCTATACAAAAATAGATTGAATAGAATTGAATTGATGGAACAAGTGTATGGACCTACAGTATATGGACCTTTTAAAATATTAGCTGGAACTGAAACAATTGGATTGCACAAAGAACAGGTTTCAGTGTAAAATGACAAAGGAGAACAACGCAAAAAAGTTTAGTTTACTTTGTATGTCTTCTTTCATGCTAAAAGCCACTCCACTGCCATGGTGTGTATGTTTTAATGTATAAAAGTGTTCTGCGGAGGTAATTTTGAGCTTTCGTCACGACAGATTGTAGCAAATATGAGCTGAGTCTCCAGTTCCAGGAAGAAATATCACAGGCAGGCAGCTCCAGATGTTTTTGCTCAGACTTGTAATGTCAAATGCAAAACATTTCATGGCTGGGCATTAGATTAACTCACTAACAGGATGGAAAAGGAGGATTTTAGCGCATATTTTGTGTCGGATTTTTTACTTCAAACGTCAAATATTCACAAGCAACTGAAGTTCTTACCCACTCTTTCATTTGATGGTTGTTCAAGAATGTTTACCGTTTCCTAAAGCTGCGTCATTTATTTTTGTGATGGCTCAGGTGAATGTGGACTCCCCTAGTGATAGACCCAGTAATTACCAAGGTACGGCCACACACGATAGATGATGAATTATACAATGCTTTAGCTTCTTAAAGCTGGGGTACCTAACTTCCCTCCCAAAAAATCTGTACATGTCAAATCCATCTATATCCTCACTTGGCATATCTCGATTTTTCTCATCCATGCATTTTTTGGACATTAGATCAACTTTTCTATACAGAAAACTGAAAAAAAAGAATCACCTTCACCAATCAGATTTCACCCCAAAGCGTCTTATAGCAAAAACAGAGTTCAGTTTATAACCAACTAAACTGAACTGAACTAAACCAAACACTAATACTAATACTAACCTAAGAACTGTTCTAAAAACTGAAATCCATAACATAAACTGACTTCAAGTTCCAACACAGTTTTCTGCAAGGCAAACACAGAGAACTTTTGAAGGTCAGGTTATTATCCTTTGATCCGAATTCAAAACATGAATGCAAAATGCCTTATAGCTCCACCACACTCTCACACTATAATGCCCAGGATTGTGAAGTACTTTTTAATTGGACTTTACCTTGGTTCTCACAACCCAGTCTTGTTAGACCTCCTTATCTCCTCATGTTTGGCATCTCCAGCAGATACGCAGTGCTAAGCTCCAAGTGGAGGCTCATTAGAGAGGCTATATAGCACCGCACCTTACACACACACACGCACACACGTACACACATACGTACATACACACACACACACACATACGTACACCCAGTTCTGCTCCTAAAATAGCTCTGGCGGTCTCTGGCAGCATCCCTCCAGGCTGCCTTCACTCCCGGACCCCTTGTTACCAGTCTGACATCTTCCCTACCCAGTGGTGAAGGGAACACTGGTGTACATGTAGCGGTGTATGGAGGCTGCAGACAGGCTCGGCATAGGGCTGAGTTTGGACAGCGACTTCACTCAAATGTTTTATTAGCGAGGTCTAGTGGCATAAAAGTACAGCAGGTTTTAACCAAAAGGGACTTAAAAAGATGCACAGGTATGAAAAGCAGAAAAGCAGTGGTAAGTCAGAGGAGTAAATGTGGGTGTAGAGGAGAAGATGGAGAGGGTGGATTAGCTCGGGGTCTTGCTGCTGATGTGGTGGAGGTAATATCCCATGTTTACACCAGCATTCTGAAACTACTACAATGACTAGAGCTGTCATTTTGAACCAAATAATGTTTAGTTTTTCACCAGATTCAATGTAATAAAGTCATTTATAAGGTTTTACAAGTAATTGCTTTTGAAAGTGCTAAAACGTATCTTTATAACTGAGAAACTGCAAACGAGGCAAATGCTAACAGTATGTTGCGATGCATATGTTGATCATTTCTTTGTCTATGTTTTAAACAGAGAACACCGTTGTAATCGACCCTAAAACGCCTGTCCTCGTCGCGCCAGTGGGTTCGCTAGTGGTGGACACGAACTCGCCTCATCAGTGGTTTGGAAACCTCGTCACGATGGTAACGACTCACAACTCCAATTATGTGAGCCAAATTTAAGCAATTTTGGGCCTCATATCAGGCCAATTTAAGCATTTTAGATTAGTCCTCCTCTTGAACAATGTGTGTTTTACCTGTTTGCTCCACCCAAGTTTTTAAGAGTTTTAAAACAGTTTTTACAAAACAAAATAACTCAAACAGGACAGGAGATGTGAAGCTTACATATGCAGATTGTAGACTACTCTATACCTTTATGCTTTTGTCATAATTTCTGAATTTTGATGTTTTGGTGCAGGTGTGGTGGACCCATCTGTGGGCTGAACGAGGGCTTTGCGTCGTGGATAGAGATCTCTGCGTGGACCACTGCTTCCCGAGTACGACATCTGGACCCATTTGTGTCCGCGGACTACACCCGGGCGCGGACCTGGGACGCTTTGGACACAGCCATCCCAACGAGGTCACACATATCACAGACCAAAATGGAGGCAAAAGTAGAAAAATATGTTTGATAAAAAGAAGGACCCGTTATTCAAGACTTTTTGGAGATTTTTTTGTTTTTTTTTTCTATGTTACAATATACAGAATGGAGAACCCTTTTTATTGCCGTGTGAGTAACAGGAGTCACAAACTGGGAAATTGCTTTGGCTCTCATTACTTACTCACTCAGTGTCCCACGATGACATCAGTTTCCTGCCTACAAACGTATTGCGAACAATAGTAGTTGCCCCTACATTAGGCGTTGGTAATTCTCAAGTAAATGTTGTTCTTTACAAGGCTGTGTTTTGCAGCTGGCTAACTTTCAGATTTGGATATAAACAAAATAGATTAACGCCTCCCCTCTGGTGGCAGCAGTGGGCTTTACAGGTACAAAGATATATATATATATTTTTTACTCTTCACTTGTTACTATAGATATTATTTTTATTGTACATGTTCTTAGATATTTCACTATTCCTAGATAGACAACAACAAAGTAAATGTTGTATAGTATTATTTTGACTATAGACTGATGCATATAATCTAATTGATAACGCATTTAAAACATTTGGTTGCAGAGACAATTGTGCATCTCCCATGGACATTTCACCGGGGGATTAATTCATAAACATATTTGCACTAATGTTTTCCATTAATCATGTTTGCCCTTTTGATGCGATTAGCCGATACAATACAAGAAAGCTAAGCGTTGTTTGAAAGGCTTGTGCGTACTCCTGCCAGATAATGCATTAAAAATGAACTCAAGGTCTGGACAGATTTCATTAAAAGGTTATTCTCATTAAAAACATTTATTTTTTCCCATCACGTTTTATCAGAGAATACTGTGTGGAGTTAGGAGTAGTTTTTGTAGACAAGCTCTTTCTTTAGGCTCTCCGTCATACAATCATAAATCACACCTTGTTCCGGTTTTTGCTTTTCTTTTTCATATGGACCTTGATGGCATTAAGTTGGACCTAAACAGCATTGAAAATTCCTAATAGGTCTTAACTTTCACGTTGGCCAAACCTGGAGCTACTTGTACTATTAAATTATCGTATTTTGTACCAATTTGTTGTAAGCCTGGTTCGTTTTGAGATGGCAAAATATTGCTGTGACCCTTCATTTCATTTACTTCATTTCATTTACTTTAATTTCATTAGTGTCGTTTGGTCATTCAGTCAGTCCAGTTTTAAATCAAAAACAAACACAATCAAGTCCGTGCTTTGCCCGCATCTTCCGAAATAAAATTCATCACTTTACAGAGATCGCACTGTAAATAATTACACTAAAACAAGAGTCCCATACCACAATACACAAAACGTTTCCTATGGTTACCGCTGTCATATATTTTGTCCATATTGAGCTGAACGAAATGTATTGAAAAGCCTTTTTGTCCAGAATAACGATAAACAGTATTTAAATTATTGTAAAGTGTGTTAAGGGTAGTGCATAGTTTTTAAAATGTACTACATTTTCAACATTAACCATATATTTCTCATAAAATCTTGTTGACCTTTTGAGTACAAACAAATGGCTGGCGACTTTATGATGCGATGGCCCTTTAGTTTGGTCCTCTGGTGACTACATTTCTCAATTATAATGGGTCGCCTGGGGTTTGAGTTCTAATAGACTGTAAATGACACTCTGTGGGTTTGACTCTTCAGCTGAGCAATTTCACTGAAAATCGCAGACGGAATACATGTAATAATGCCTTCAAAAAGTATTTGTGAGTTTCGGATTCAAATCCACTCAGCACATTGCATAACAAAGTTTCCAAGTGCTGTACAGGAGTAAGACATAAATTTAACGAGCAAAAAACAGCCGACAGTTATAGAAAGAAAAAGCCAAATCTTGACTCTTGAAAAAATACAGATATTAATTTACTTTGGAAAACCATAACCAATTCAAACTGCCCTGATTCATCCCGGAATCCTTTAATTTTGGATCATTTGCATTGCTCTTGTATTTACTGAAGCACTATGAAAGCACTACGATGTGCTTTGTGTATGAAGTGGGCCATAACAGATAAACTTGGTTCGTGGTTCTAGTATTATTATTATAATTTAACAGACAAAGTTAAATACCAGTGGCTCCCTCCATTAATACGTTGGATCTATAAAGTAACTATGTTTACCTGTAAAATCGGCAAATGAACCACTGTACAGTACTGATCTGCCTCGCTGGCCCCCTGTGCCCGCAGGTAAACGTGGGCGCACCCTCGGAAGTGGACGAGAGTTTTGACGCCATCCCTCGTACAGCAAAGGAGCGTCCGTGATCCGCATGTTGCACAAATACATCGGAGACGAGGTTGGAGCGCTGCCTGCCCGGTGGCCGAATCTGAGCACTGGTCAAACCCTCACCCATTCACTCACTCCTCTAGGATTTTAGGAAGGAATGAACCATATCTGGTCAATTTTCAAAACAAAAACACGCAGGCAACAGGTGAGGAGATATTTTGATATACTTTACTAGCTCATTTAGTTATCGTTTACCTATGGACCCCATCACTTGTGTCCTTAATACAGATGAATAAATAATGACTATGCTCTGAATACGTCAAATTGTTTTGTTGTAATAAATCTTATTTCTTTGCCGCCCCTCTAAACACCTCACTGGTCACCTTACATAACAAGTAAAAAAATACATCTAAAGACCGTAAAAGACAAACTTGCGCTATGTTTTCTCATTGACTTGAATAGATTGCAACTGTTTGACATGTTACTAGTTTGAGTCACACCTTTTTAGAGTTGGTATACATCTAAACAAATAGTGTCTCTGGTGCAATTCTACCTGCGTTGTTTGGTGCACACTGGGCTACGTGGAATTGTCTATGAGTTGATCCAAAGAAAAACCCTTTTTTTAGAGTGCCTGATATAGCATACACAATAGATAACGAGGAGAAAAAATCTTAATTCTAAGTGGTCATTATAATATGCCATGTGTTAAAGCTGTCGTTGTGCTAAGGCTTTTTCCTCAGTATCCCTCTGTCTCCTTTTCTCTGTCTAATTTGCAAGTGTTTTGTCAGAGGATCTATGGGAGTGTCTGGAGCAGCCAGCGGCAAACCCATCGCCGCCGGTGATGAGCTCGGGGACCAAACAATGGGATTTCAATCATCGTCGTCGACCAAGAGCAGGTGCACAGTGGGGACACCTGCTTTTGCACTATCGCTGCTCTCATCCACTGCCGTAGCAGGGTTTATCAAAAAACCATTAAACACACCATTTCATGCCTTAAGAGGAAACGGTTCAATGTCTGGATTTGTGACCTTGTGTTTTTGGGCGCCGGGTGTTTTTTTGCCATATGTCCGATCAGCAATCCTCAAAGCACAGCAGAGTTCAAGCCTGTGTGCTAGCTGCTCAAATGCCAAGATCTCTCTCAACAATTATAAAGTATAAAATAATTATGGAAAATAAAAAAACTTGCAAAAAAATAAAAAGTCAAAATAAAAACAAATAATAATACTAAAAAAATAATAATAAAACCTAAAGTAAATGGGCAGTCAACCCAAAACAAACAAACCATTTCCACATACACACACTAGCACCACAAACACACAAACACGATTCCACGTCCAACCCACACACACCCCCCCACCCCACACACACCACGTTGAGCTCAACACAAAACACCAACACAAACACAAAACAAACAACAAAACAAACATACCCGGTGTGAGTCATCTATGTCCATGGACAACTCACCCTTCCCCACCACACCGTCGACGAGATACTCCCCCCCACACCCCTACCCCACCCCGAGACCGGCTGAACACCCCCCGGGGACCCCCCCCTCACCCCAGGGGGGAAGAGTCCCCCCCGGCGGGGGGTGTGGTGACCACGTCCCGCCCCCCGGCGACCCCCCCCGCCTAGCGACCCGAGGACCCCCCCCCCGGTGGGCCCCCCCCACATGAGACCCCCCAGCGCCCCCCCCACCCCCCCGGTACACAACACCCCAGATATCCCGAACCCCCCCCCCCCCATCGTGGACGTACCGCGTTCAGACCCGTCACCCCACCCCCCGTACACTTGGGGACCCCACACCCCCCCCCCCCCCTGTAGCCCCCCCTCAACCCCCCCACACGCCCACTGTGTATGCGGGGGGCGGGGCCACCCCTCTTGTGACCCCCACCCCCCGCATCCTGCACCCCCCCCCCCGCTCACCCCCCCCCAGGTATAGGGGTACGGCGGTTCGGTCCCCCCCCCCGCCCACACTAACCACGGTTTGGACCCCCCCCCCCCGCCACCACCACCCCCCCCCCCGCCCGAGCCCCCCTAGATGGATGCCCCCCCCAATGGGAGCCGCCCCGGTGAGGAGTAGAGCCCCACCCACACCCCCCCACCCCCCGGCGGGCAACGGTTGAGGGATTGAGACAGGGAGCCGATACAACCCCTCGACCGGAACCCCCCGGTCCCCCCCGACCTACCCAGTTGTTTGTAGTGTGGTTGTTGTGTGTGTTTTATGTGTTAGAAGTGTTTATGTTGTTTGTAGTTGTGCCCCCACCCCCCCCCCCCCCACACACAAAACACCACACACACACCACGCGGTCACCCCACCCCCCCCCCCCCCCCCCCCGCCACCACCCCCCCCCCCTTCCCCGGGAAGCGGGGACCCCGGAAAGACACCCCCCAGTGACCCCCACCCCCCCCCCCCCCCCCAAGTGGGGACCCCCCCAGACAGGTACCCCCCCCACCAGCGCGACCCCCCCCCCCCCCCCCCCTGGGTCCCCCACCCAACCGGTGCGGGGAACGCGGAACCGCGACCCCCCCCCCCCCCCCCCGCCCCCCCCCCCCCCACCACCCACCCCCACCAGGGACCAAACCCCCGCCCCCCCCCGGGCCCCCGGGACCCCGACGACCCTCCCGCGGCCCCCCGGAGGGTTCTCACCCCAATTCCCGCCCCCCACCCCCCCCAGCACCCCCCCCTCCTTCTGTGGATAACCCACAGGTTCCCACCAGGGGGCCAGTGACCTTCCATGACCCGAAGACGATGGCGGGTACCTCCCGCCCCCCCCCCGGGACACCAACGGACACCAGTCCGGTACCCTGGAAATCCCCCCACCACCCAACCTACCCCACGAGAGGGGTCAATCAGGGTACCCCCACCCCCCACTCCCTCACCCCCCCATCACCCCGGGGACAACGAGACCCCCCCGGGGACTCGGGATCCCCCCCTCCGGTGCTGGTCCCCCCCCTCGATCGCAGCCCGCATATAACATAAAATAATATATATATATACTATAATATATATAATAATAATAGAACAAACCACACACACACCACACAACACCACACCTCCACCAAACCCCTTGTTAGGCTCCCCTGCAGGCCTACATGCGAACACACCCTACAACACACACAACAATCCACGCCCCACACACAATAAACAAAACATTTTGTGTGTTTGATTGTGTGTTTTGTTTGTTGTGTGTTTGTTTTTTGTGTTGTTTTTGAGAAACAAAAAAACAACACCAACCGTAGCCACCACCACACCCACACACACACCACACCTACCCAACCCCCCCCGGGCGAGCGTTTCCCGTATCACATATCCCGGAGACCCGCCCCCCCAGCGACCTAGGCCCCCCCCCCCCCCCTCAGACCACCCCACCCCCCGACCAAGAATCCGTTGAGGTCCCCCCCCCCCCCCCCCCTACCCCCTACAGGGACCCCCCCCCCTGACCATGACCCCACCCCACGACCCCCCACTGGTCGGTAGTCCCCCCCCCCCCGAGGCTTCCCCCAACCCACCTTCCCCCCCCCCCCCCCCCCCCCCCCCTTGCCCTTTGGATTTCGGGGTGGAGACCCCCTGGGTCCAGGCTGGAACCCCCCCCCGACCCCCGACACCGGTGGACAACCCCCCCAGACGTCTTAGAGCTTGAGTTATGATCCCCGAATTCCCCCCCCGGACCCTCCCCCCCGCCCCGGAGCCTCCCCCCCAAGACCCCCCCCCGACCCCGGGCTGACCCCCCCCCCGGCGCGGAGGACCCAAGGGACTCCCCAGCCCCCACACCACCACACCCACGTGTACCACCCCCTGTATTTATACCCCCCCCCCCCCCCCCCACCCCTTGGGCCCAAAGGAGGCAGGCGACACAAACACAAGGGTTTGGGGGGGGGGGGGGGGAGGGGGGGTTTGGGTGGGGGGGGGAGGGGGGGGGGGGAGTGATGTTTGTTGTGTAGGTGTATAAACACGCAAAAACAAACACAAAACAAAACAAAAAAAAAAAAAAAAAATAAAAAATAAAAAAAACTTCAACCCACCCCCCCCCCGTGCGCATACCCGCCCCCCCAGCTAACCCCCCCACTTGCTAGCAGGGAACCCCCACACACACACCACAACCCCAATACTCTGAACCGATGATAAGAAACCCCCCCCCCCCATAGGTAGGCCCCCCCCCCCACCCCCCCAAACACCAAAACCGGCGCCAACCCCCCACCCCCCGGGCGTCTTACGCAGATCCCCCATGTAATACCCCCCCCCCCCACGGTGGTACCCCCCACGGGGTTTACCCCCCGACCCCCCCCCCCCGTCCCCCCCCCCCCCCCCCACCGGACATGTACACCCCCAACCCCCCGGCCCGAACCCCCCCCCCCCCCCCCCCCCCCCCGACCCCCGGCCACCCCCTCGCCCCCTCCCGGGGAGGGTAACACAAGTGTAGTGTGTTGAGGTAGGGGTGGGGGGTGGTGTGAGGGGGGGGTGTGTGGTTTGGGGAATGAAGTGTGGGCCATCTTGAGGTCCCCCCACCACCCCCCCACAGACCCCCTCCCAGCACCTCCCCCCGCGCGAACTGTGACACTCAACCACAGGCTAATGAGTGCCCACCACACAACACACAAGATATCCACCCCCCCCCTCCCCCGACCCACCCCCGCGGGGGGAGGTCCCCCCCCAGCCCCCCCCCCCCCACACCCCACACACCACACCACACGAGGAGATCCCGGCTTGGGTCGCCCGCCTACTGGACGCCCCACACCCCACCCCCCCCCCCCCCCCCAAGCTGAAGTGAACCAGGTTGTGTGGGGGGGGGGACCGCCCCCCCCCCTTCCGGGGGGTCGCTCCCGGACCCGGGAAACGCCCTAGGGTCCGCTTGCCGCCCCCCCCCCCCCCCAACACAAATACACACACCCACTCCCCCCCCACCCTAAACCCACCCGATGGGGGGTATCAGGGGGCCCCCCCCCCATAACCCTCACCCCCTCGGTCCCAACCCCCAGACCACTATCCCCCGTACACCCGTAGAACCACCCCCCCCCCCGCCCGACCCCCAGTCCCGTTCCCCCCCCCGCCAACCCCCCCCCCCCCAACCCCCCTATTCCCCCCCCCCCCCACCCCCCCCCCCCACCCAGGGTTCCCTACCCCCCCCCTGGACGGCTATACCCACCCACCACCCCCACCCCACCCCCAACCGTCCCAACCCCCCCCAAGGCGGACCCCCCCCCCACCCCCCCCATACTTGAAGTAGGACACCGAGATCCACCCCTGGGAACCCCCCCCCCGAGGGCCCCATCTCCTGTAATGTCGCCCCCCACCCCCCCCCCTTCCCCCCACCCCCCACAACAAACAGTGGGGGTGGGTTGGGGGGGGGGTTGGGTTGTGTTGGGGTTGGTGTCCGGACCAACCCCCACCCCCCCCCCCCCGCCCCCCAAGTAGGCCCCGGAACCCCCCCCACCACGGGTTCCCCCAATCACCCCCACCCACCCCACTAGACCCCCACCCCCCCCACCCCACCCGCCCTCCCCCCCCTCCCCCCCCCCGGCTGGTCCCCCCCGACCCCCCCGAATGTGAGACCCCCCATTAGAGGTGTCAGGGGAAACACCGCCCCCCCCACCCACCCCCGATGAGGCACGGAAGTCCCGATGGGATGTGGTTCCCCCCCTTATCCCCGAACTACCCCAGGACCAGGACCCGATACGACACACCCCCAACCCCCCCTGATTCCCCCCCCCACCCCCACCCCACCAGCAAATTGGGACATAGACCCCCCCCCCTATCCCTGCGGTGTGGACGTAGGGACCCCCGACCCCCCCAACCCCCCCAACCCCCCGCCCCCCCCACCCACACACCACACACCACCACCACCCACACGCGGGACTAGGGCGACCCCCCCCCGAAGGCCCCCCCACCACCCACACCCCCCCCCCCCCCCCCCCCCCCTAGAAGGGTCGAACCCCAGGAGTGCGACCCCCCAGCAGGGCCCCCCCACCACCCCCGACACCCCCTGAATTTTCCATGTTATAACCCCCCGAATATACTCCCCCCCAGGTTGGAGTGCCCCCCTTAGGTGACGGACTGTGGGCGACCCCCTGAGTACTGAACCCGGCAGTACCACTCCCCCCCTGAATCTGACTTGAATAGACACCCCCCACCCTATATATATATATTTATTAATATATATATAATATAAAATAAACACAACACACACCACACACCCACCCCCACCCCATAGCCCAACCCACACACAAAGGGGGGGGGGGGGGGGGTGTGAGGGGGGGGGACAAAAAAACACGCACACCACACCATAGCACCTTCATTACGAGTTCCCCCGCTTCAGTGAGTCCGATCCCCCCCAACCCCCCCCCCCCCCCCCCCCCCCCCCCACAACTGGGAGCCAACCAAACACCCCCCCCCCCCCCGACCCCCGACACTCGCAAAGACCACCCCCTGACCCCCGTGGACCCCCCGGTAGACCCCCCCCCACCCCCCCCCCCCCCCCCCCCCGCGAACAAGACCCCACAGTGAGAGCCGGTGGATACCCCCGGCGTACCCTGTGGACCTGAGTTTAACCAACCGATAACACCCATCCCCACCCCAGTGACCCCCCCAAGGGGAGGTCCCCCACCGAGATCGCCCCCCCCCCCCCGGTAAGGGCCCCCCCCCCCCGTACCCTCGCTGAGGAGCCCCTCGGGACCCCCCCCCACCCGGAAGGGGAGACCCCCACCACCCCAACCACCCCCCCGTGTAGTCCTACCCCACTCCTGGAGGTGGGGACCCCTGCTCCCCCCCCCCCCCACCTGGTACCCAGATACCCCCCCCCCCCCACCGAGGGGGATTACCCCACCCCCATGATTTCTACCCGCCCAGACCCCCCCTCGAGATCAACCCCCCCCCCCCCCCCCTCCCACGCCCCCCCCCCCCCCCCCCTACCCCCCCCCCCCCCCCATATCCGACAGGGTTGGGGGTGTGGCGTACCCCCCCCCCAGGTACCCCCGGCCCCCCCACCACACACCCACACACCCCACCACACCACTGGGCAAACGATAGGCGAGGCACCCCACCCCCCGTGCCATCCGGGCCGGCTGGAAGACCCCCAAAAGGGCCGCGGACCCCCACCCCCCCCCACCCTCCCCCCCCCCCCCCCCCCCCCTCAGTCCCCCCCGACCCCCCTTCACCCCCCACGCGATCCCCCCTCCCTTCCCCCCCCCCGTACCCCCCCCCCCCCCCCCCCCCCCCACCCCCCTCCCCCACCCCCGGGCTGCCCCCTCCCCCCCCAGACCGGTGTACCGGCACTACATAAGCCTCCCAATTGACCCCCGCAGTTTCAGCACCTGTACCTTGCCCCGAGCAGAACCCGGCGAGGGCCCACCCCCCCCCCCCCCGCCCCCCCCCCCCTATCCCCCCCCCCCCCCACCCCCCCCCCCCCCCCCCCCCGCCCCCCAGACGGAAGGCGGAAGGATCCCCCCCCCCCGCCCCCCCCTGACTCCCCTCGGCCCCACCACCTCGGTACACGACATGTGGGGACAACTGGTACGTGGAGTCCCCCCACCCCTTGCCCCCAATAAACCCCCCCCCACCCGCCTCCCTCGGAGAAACCCCCCCCTCCGTGGGCGTCGCCCGCTCGCGCTCATAGTGCCTTATGTCGCCGCCTCCCACACTTCTTGAACTCGGCAGTGCCTTTTGAGGCCTTGCTGATCTCCGCCGCCCTATTGCAAAACACCACCCGGCGCCCAAAACCCAAGTCCCAAAATCACTTGAACCGTTTTCCTCAGTAACGTGCCGGAAATGGTGTGTTTCAAATGTATTCTTGATAAACCCTGCTAAGGCCTGTGTGATGAGACACGAGATTGTGAAAAGCAGTGACCCCACTGGTGCACCTGCTCTTGGTCGAGCGACGATGATTGGAAATCCCATCGGTTGGATCACGAGCTCATCACCGCGGTCGATGGGTTTGCGCGCTGGCCTGCTCCAGACACTCCCATAATCCTCTGACACAAACACATGCAATAGCACGAGAATAGGAAGACAGAGGATACCTGAGAAAAAGCATTAGCGAAACGACAGAGATTTAAAAACATGCGAGTATAAGACAGTAGATTTTGATTTTTCTCTACGTTATTAGAGTGGTTTCTTTAAAGGCCACTATAAAACAAGGTTTTTCTTTGATCAAATACATATGACACATTCCACGACCCAGTGTGCACCAAACAACGCAGTAGAATGCACCAGAGACACTCTTTTGTTTTAGATTATACCACCTATTAAAAGGTGTGACTAAAAAAGTAACATGTTCAACAGGTTTTGCATATATTCAAGTCAATGAGAAAAATAGCGCTAGTTTTGTATTTTAACACGGTCCTTTAGATGTATTTTTTACTTGTTATGTAAGGTGACAGTGAGTGTTGTAGAAGGGAGGGTGCAAAGAAATAAAGATTATTAAAACAAAACAATGACTTATCAGAGCGTAGTATTATTATTTCAACTGTATTAAAGGACACAATGTGATGCCGGCCCATAGGTAAAGCGATAATAAATGAGCTTAGTAAAGTATATCCCAAATATCTCCTCACCTGTTGCTGCTTTTTGTTTTGAAAACTTGGCCAGATATGCGTTCAGTCCTTTCCTAACAATCCTAGAGGAGAGAGTGAATGGGTGAAGGTTTGACAGTGCTCAGATTTCAGGCCACGGCAGGCAGCGCTCAAACCTCGTCTCCGATGTAGTTTGTGCAACATGCGGATCACGGACGCTCCTGTTGCTGTAGAGATGGCGTCAAAAATCTCGTACCACGTCAGACGGGGCCCACGGTACCTGCGGGCCAACAGGGGGCAGGCGAGGAGTCAGTAATGTACAGTGGTTCCATTTGCAGTTTTACAGGTTAAACTTTTAACTTTATAGATCCAAATCGTATTAGGGAGGGAGGCAACTGGGATTTAACTGTTGTCTGTGAAATTAATAATAATAATACGAGAACCAAGAACCGAAGTTTATCTGTATGGCAACTTCATAACGGCACAAGCAAATCGTAGTGCTCAGAGTGCTTAGTAAAAACAAGAAATCAATGCAAATGAACAAAATTAAAGGATTCCGGGATGAAGTCGGGGCAGGCCAGTTTGTATTGGGTTATGGTTTTCCCAAGTTTAATTTAATTTATGTATTTTTTTTCACCGAGTCATGATTTGGGCTTTTTCTTCTATTGTCGGCGGTTTTTTGCTCGTTTAATTATTGTCTTCTCCTGTACAGTCACTTTGGAAACTCTTGTTAATGAAATGTGCTGAGTGGATTTTGAACTCCGAACTTCACAATACTTTTGATGCATTTTACAATGTATACCTCCGTCTGAAGTTTCAGTGAAGATTTTGCCTCAGCTGAAGAGTCATAACCCAACAGTGTGTCATTCTACAGTCTATTAGACACAAACCCCAGGCGCCCACTTATAATTAGAGAAATGTGTACACCAGAGACCAAAAACTAAAGGCCATAGCATCAGAAAGTCGGCCAGGCGTCATGTGTTTGTACTTCAAAAAGGTCAACAAGATTTTATTGAGAAAAATATATGGTGATAATGTTGAAAGATACATTTTAAACTACGGCACTACATTAACACACATTTACAATAATTTAATAATGTTTCTATCGTTATTCATGCGGACAAAAGCCTTTTCAATACATTCTGTTTCAGCTCAATAGGAAAAATATTTGACAGCGTAACATAGAAAACGTTTGTGTATTGTGTAGGAGACTCGTGATTGTAGTGGTAATTATTTACAGTGCCGATCTTGTTAAAGTGATGAATTTTATTTGGAAGATGAGGGCAAAGCTACGGACTTGATTGTGGTTTGGTTTGATTTAAACTGAATGACTGAATGACCAAGGACGACACTAAATGAAATTAAAGGGAAATGAAATGAAAAGTAAATGAAATGAAGGTCCACAGCGAATATTTTGCATCTCAAAACGTACAGCTCACAACAAATTGGTACAAAATAACTATAATTTAAATAGTACAGAGTAGCTCCAGTTTTGGGGCCTAGTGAATTTAAGACCCTTTTAGGAATTTTCAATGCTGTTTAGGTCAAACTTAATGCCATCCCAAGGTCAAAAATGAAAAAGAAAAGAAAACGGAACAAGGTGGATTTTATGATTTATGACCGCTGAAGGGCCTAAAGAAAAGAGCTTGTCTACAAAACTAATCTACTCACTACATTAGTCTCTATAAAACTGATGGAAAATAAATGTTGTTTAATGGAATCACTGTTAAATGAAATCTAGTCCAGACCTTGAGTCATTTTTAATGCATTTCGGCAGGAGTACGCACAACATTTCCAACAACGCTTCAGCTTTCTGTATTGTATCAGTCTAATCGCGTCAAAAGGGCAAAATGATTAATGAAAACATTTGTGCATTATGTTTAATAATTAATCACCGGTGAAATGTCATGGGAGATACACAATTGTCTCTGCAACCTAATGTTTTAATGGCATTAATCAATTAATTATAATGACAGCAGTCCCTCTTAGTCCAATACTAAATACTACAACATTTACTTTGTTGTTTTATCTCTAGCAATGTGAAATTATATAAGAATGTACAATAATAAAAAATATCTATAGTAAACAAGTATGAAGAGTATAAAAATATTTTTAAGGGGGGATCTTTGTACCTGTAACGCCCAATGCTGCCACCAGAGGGAGAGTTTAATCTATTTTGTTATTTTTCCAATATGATAGTTACCAGCTGCCAACACAGCCTTGTAAAGAACAATCATTTAAACTTGAGGAATTCCAAGACTAATTTAGGGGCAATACGTTTGTTTACAATACGTTTGTAAGAGCAGGAAACTGATTCATAGTGGGACAATGAGTGGAGTAAGTAATTGATGGCCAAAGCCATTTTCCAGTTTGTGACTTCCTGTTACTCACCACGAGGCAATAAAAGGATTCTGATTCGATAGATCTTTAACATAGAAAAAAATCTCCAAAAAGTCCTTGAATAACGGGTCTCTTTTATCAAACATATTTTCTACTTTTGCCTCCATTTTTGTCTGTGATATGTGCCTGACCTCGATGGATGGCTGCTTCCAAAGCGTCCAGGCCCACGCCCCGGGTGTAGTCAGCGGACACAAACTGGGTCCAAGATGTCGTACGTCTGTCCGGAACAGTGGTCCACGGCAGAATACTCTATCCACCGACGCAAAGCCCTTCGTTCCAGGAGCCACAGAGGGTCCCACCACTCCCTGCACAAAACATAAAATTCAGAATTATGACAAAAGAATAAGGTCCATAGAGTATCTACAATCGGCATATGTATGACACATCTCCTGTCCTGTTTGAGTTTATGTTTGTTTATTGTAAATACGTCTTTTAAAAACTATAGAAAACCCTTGGCGTGGAGCAAAGCAGGTAAACACACATTGTTCAACGAGGAGACTAATATAAAATTTGGCTTAACATTTGGCTGAATGAGGCCAAAATTGCGTAACATTTGGCACGATAATGACGTTGTGAGCTCGTTACCATAGTGACGAGTGTCCATTCCAACCACCTGAGAGCGAGTTCGGCTCCCACCACTACGCCTCCCCCCTGGCGCGACGAGGACAGGAGTTTTTTAAAAGGGTCGATTAACAAGGGCTGTTTTCTCTGTAAAACCAAAGACAAAGAAGATTCAACAATGCACGGCGTTTCATTCATAAAACAACAAGCAAAACACCAATACCATATTAATCAAAGACCCGTGTAGTGCTTAGTGTAATCCGGGGACTGGACTTCAAATCATGTCTGCTCACCCACCCGCTTCAAACTAGTTACATATTTTTCTGTATCCTGGTCATTGTTTTTTGTTCCATGATATTTGAAATATACTGTTGATAGTAATAACTAGAGTCCGTTTTATACAGCCGCTTTGGATCTTGGACACTCAAAACGCTTCACATGTCATTTTTTTCATGCACATCCATTCCATGGTGATATAAACTTCTACTGTATGCCACCAACGTCGCCCCTGGGGCACACTGACAGAAGCGAGGCAACCACTATGTGCCATAGACCGCCTCCTACCCACCACCAACCATCACACACACCACCAGACTCATGCTAATGTGGTTAAGTGTCTTGCCTACGACACAACGACAGTTCTGGCCCTTAACAGCCGCCCACTGTGGGCACCTGGCGTTCCCAGAGGTCTCCCATCACTAAAAAACTAACCAAGCCCTGCCCTGCTTGGTTTCAGAATGATTAAAAAAAAGAGAAAGATTGAGTGTAAGATTTCTTTTTCAGTGAGAAAAACGACTTGTGAAACAATTCCAAATTATTAGCAAAGAACGAGGCAGAATGGGTCCCCGCCACTGCTCCGACAGGTGACTACCCTCGTGGCCTGTGACGGATGGGCCAAATCAAAAGCAGAGGACGAATGTAACCCATAACCTATACGAGCGGGGTCTGGGGAACGGGGTAAAAGGAAGTGGTGTAAATGGCAAAGGAAGCAACTATAATGGTGCCAAAGCTGTGAAAAGTAGCCACTGTAATTGTTTTAGTCAAGAATGTTATAAGCTATATTCCTCCAAATGCAGTTTCTTCTTAACCTCAGTTTGCTTAAAGCTGGATTACCCTAGCCTGGCTCTGCCAGACCCTTGTAGTTCCGCCATGCGCCAACCAAGCCGTTTGGCTGATACCACAGGGGTCCAGGGTAGCGAGCCCCATCGCGAACCTGAGCCTTCCCGCAGATGTTTTTTAATCGACCAAATCAGGATTGCCGGTGCTACGGGGGGTTCGGCAAACTGCCTTCTCCAAAGCTTCTCCAAGCAGCAGCGAGAGGAAGCCAAGATGGCGGACGTAAAGTCCGCGAAATCTTTTTAAAAGAGTAATACCGATCGAATTAAGACACAGAGGTCTCTGTTAATGCATTTTTGAGCGTTGATGGTTCTAGGTTGATATATGGTGTGTTGAGTCAAATGTTCCTGTAAGTTAGGTTGTAGCACTGGTTCAGTTTCCTGTTTACACACTAGCAGCAGGTTGCCAGGTTTGGTGGTTCCCCCGCACTATTTGTTTCCAAAGAGACTTGTAGGTAATAAATAAACAAAAAACAAATAAACACAATCAGAAAGCCCAAGTTGATTAATTACGTTTTTAGCCAAAAAAGATCATTGAGTGTTTTTTTGTGGTGGGTTTTCCTCGTGGATTTGGGTTGGAAAATCTTGCTGGGATTTGGCAACCCTATGGGAGCCGTGTGCTTCAATGTGAGTGGTTGCAAGCAGACTCATCTCAAGATAACGGACAAGTGGTCTATCCAATCACATACAAAGGATTTTTTTTTCAGGCCCCTGCCTTCTGAAATCCAACCACTTATGGCTCAGTACCAGACTCTAGTAAGTGCACTGCACGAAACATGGGTCTGGCGAGAGTCAGGCTAGGATTACCCATCTCAAACCCACAAAAAACAACAAGGGCAAAATAATGACATGATCTTTGCGCTCGCAGAACAGTTTGGGTTTCTGTATAACTATGTGAGGAGAGGTGCCCTAAAAAGCAGGTCCTTTGTCCTTCCGTACTGCTGTCAGACTGTGACAAATGAGAGCTGCCAAGTCGGTACTGGTCGTCTCCAGTGATGGGAATAACGCCGTTACTAGTAACGGCGTTACTAGCTGCCGCTTACTATTTTTCATAACGAGTAATCTAACAATTATGTTGACAGTAACTAAACGCCGTTATCATTTCCGACATCCCTTTCTGCGCGTACTCAAGACCACTAAAGAAACGTGTTGTCATAGAGAAGGGAGGATTGGAGAAAACCCTCTCACAATATTGGCTGATTGAAATCATATTTCCTTACCAATCTACAGGTCTACAGTTGAGAGGATGGCTCTTAAATTTGTGTTTTTGAATCAAATATGGGTCTAAACGCGCTCAACCACGGCTTGGGATAACCTGAGGTCAGCCACAGAGTAGCGCATGGTTAGCGCAGAAGTTACGGACTGCATACAATTCCATCGATATGCTCCTTGCTCTTCCTGTTATCTGCTAAGGACAAGCAACCGTTTGGCTAACATACATATAACACATTTTTTACATAAAAATCAAAATGCACATGGGGTAATTTTTCAATTAACTATAAGGAATGAAAAAAGAGAGGTGAGAGTGTAAGACGGTTGATTTTAAGAAATTGGATGCAGCGGCTGCAGGCAAAACAGAGGGAGTTTTACGGAGGACACACCCGTTTTGTTTTTACTTTTTTTTTTTAAAACTCATTGGACTCATGCCAAATGGAGGCTTACATATCTACGCTCATACCATTCACTAGGATTTTTAAACAAGGAACATGGTCCTGAACCGAATGGATTAGTCATTTATAAGTAAGCCTATAAGGTAAGACCAATAACACATAGTTTTTGGCTTGTATGAACTAAACAATGCGGGCATAAAACATATTTTGCTGTACCAAACAAATTGGTCCACTTGATTTATATGATCGTATATGTTTCATCTGTATGGACTGAAGTCAGTGCTGCACACCTCACCGCTCGTTCACCCCGGTGTTTTCCACATTCACAGTGGGCGGTGTTGGTGTTTAGTGCGTTACAGCACAGGGAGAGAGATGAAGAGGAACAGACGTCAGCCCAAAACAGCTTCTCAGAGGGAAATATGGCACTGTTAAAGGTAAAAAATGGCGCAACGTCGGGTGCACATTATGTTCCAGAACTAAACGAAAAGTAACGCAAATAGTGACTTTTTTCTGGTAACTATTGTACTTTTATAGTGGAGTAACTTCCGTAGTAACTCAGTTTACTTTTTTTGGGAGATGTACCGAGTAACTAATATCTAAGTACGTTTTCAAAGTAACGTGCCCAACACTGGTCGTCTCGGCTGTAAATGGTAAGTCCTGCAATTTTATGAGTGTCCCTCTGAATGTCCTTTATCTACTTTATCCAGCGAAAACATAATGGATGGTAATTTACACTGATAATATAGTAGATATAATATTGATATTTAACAGCCACTGTTTTAGTCACATTTTCACTGTTCTACTTTCCACTTTAGGAAACTCAATGTTTTATGTTTATTGCAAAATCCTATTGCACTTGCTTTTGGAAAACCTTTTGTAACAACGACCTTCACTATACTAACTGTAGAAAAGGGTAGCCAAAAAAGAACTAGGCCTGAGTTTAGTATTTTAATTGTATCTAAAATACATGTTATTTCGGTCAAACTCGTGACGCTTTGGTCTTTGTTTTCTGGTTCAAATTTTTAATCATGCTACACAAAGTCAGTCCACTTGAATTCATATATTTTTTTTCCTTTGGTATCTAATGTTTGTGTGTCTGTTTTATTTTGTTTATTTACCTATTTTTTGAATTGTTTTATTTTATGGCCCCGGTGGTGAGTCAGGTGTGTAGTTTTATTAAACCCCAAGAAGGGGCATTCAATCCTCGGCATTTGACCCATCCTGATGCCACAATAGGCTACATCAGGAGACAGTGGTCGCCGTAGTAACAGCACCCGGGGAACCCATCTCCAGATTTTGATGCTGTCTTGGTCAGGACTACCAGACGGAGGATCGAACCTTATTGTGTATGTTTTTAGTGGTAGGGGAAACCGAAGCACGCCAGAGGAAACTCTACGCACGTACGGGGAAACATGGCAAACTCCACGCAGAAAAGACCCTCCTGGCACCATTCTGCTGTATTGTCCTTTTCCTTTCACCCTTTTTAGAACATAACTCAATGCAGGTTTGTTAGTTAATGTTATAATGTTCACTAAATAATAGTAGTTATTGATGTCCTGAGAAAAGCATAAACGAGTTTTGCATCTTATGGTCAGATCACGATTCGTCTGACGCGTGAACAGGCTGCTTACAAAAACAGGGCCCCATTCCAACCCCATCACTTGTCGTCAACATCTCGCCCCGTATCGGCCGAACTCGTTCTCCGGAGACGGTTTTATCTCTTTTCTGTGCATATAATGCGGTTTAGTGAGATGAAATTGAAGGTGATGTTGCCACTGAATGATAAGGAGTTGTTTGTTTTTTGCTACATTCGATAGATCCGTCCCACAGCGACGTGTGCTGCCGAGATGTACGTTGTACAACTACCTCATCAACCGCGCCAGAGAATAGACGCAATAAAGGCAAAAGTTGAAAACTATTTGTAGTTATTTTTTTCTATACAAGATCGACGGAAAAAGACCATATTTCTGTAAATCTGCAAAATTTTGCCAAGTAACAAATATAACTGTATTTAATGTATAAAATAAAAGGGATTCATCGGCACCCAATCCTGTGTTCTGAGTGACTTAAATAAATTACAAGGATTTCTAAGGGAAAGAGCAGAAAATGTGAAGCCATGGAGGAAATTTAGCGTAAGAGTCTGGTATTTACTATAACTATTCAAGCCCATACTCTCAAAACATAAGGTTTAATATAAATATACTCAATCAATAAGTGATTTCCTGTGTGGGATTTTGGGACCAATGTTATTAAAAAGGGCCCATGAAAAAAACATATATTAAAAGGATGAAAGCAGAATTTGTGATGTCTACAGCTAC